TGATTAAAGTTTGCTCAAACATGCACAAATACAACTTGGAGAGGATACATGAGAAGGGGAAACAACTGCAACATGTCACATTTGAAAGTTGATTTTGCTTTAAAAATCTGCGAGTGTGATTTTAGTTGGTTTAGGCATTATTTGTAGTGTTTCTTTCAGTATGTTGATTAAAAATTGTTTACAAGTTGGCCATAGGTGCTCACCAGTCTCACAGGATTTGCTACATTTGCATTTTATATGAATCTTTAGCCTATTTATATTTATTAATTTAAATATTAATTTGAGGCTTATACTTTGTAATTATCTTTTTGCAGTCTCACATGAACTCCACCATAGATTGTACAGACTCCCACACAGTCTTAACGTGCAGAATAATGCAGTGTGGATGTTTGTGTGAAGTGAGATGTTTTACAGCTGTTTGTCCAGCATTGAGTGGCGCCTGACCCCCCTGCCCCTGCTCCGGTCAGTTACAGTCAAGTCAGTTCTGTCTGCCCTGTACTGTGTCTGGATATTATGGGTACTAAACAATATTCATATAATTGGTTGTTTTGCTGGTTGAACAAAGTGTTCCATAGATACAAGAATAATTAATTGACCGTGACTTTCATTTAGCTCCTATGTGAGAAATACAGTATACACTTCAGTACATACCCGTGGACTTGTAATTGTTCAGTGTTCTCAGCTCATCTTTACATTGAAGTATAGCCTTTTAGCAAGTCATTCATCACTTATGCCTTCACAAATTAAAGGTACTATATTGACAAAATTGACTCTTGTGAGTTTTAAGCCATGTTATAATGCTGTTACCTCACCCAAAACATACCTGGAGTTGTGTTATATTTCACTGATACATGTTTGAGCAATCCTGTTTTATTAGTCTACATCTCCAAAGATCAAAATGCTCTGTTCCAAGTAGTGGTAGTTTTCAAGATAACAGCTACAATTTACCTTTTATTCAGTGAAATAGATTGGCAATTCCACATCTGAAATCATCCAAATAATTCTAGTGAAGGTGTATGGAGTTTAAAAACACAGTGGAGCACTTGCTGTATCACCACAAAACATCAAAAGGTGGAACAGAGGGTTTTCGGTTTGAGAGAAGATCGCAGCCTACATATGCAGGTTTGTGTGTTAAACATGTGTGAAACAAAACACAACTCCAGGTCTGTTTGTGATGAGGAAACAACATTATAACATAAATCAGATGGGCCCTTTAAACCTTATTTTGCAGCCTGGATCACATCAATAATACATGGTTACTTATTAAAAGCATCTAGGAGAACAACACAACAATACATCTTTGGCTGGAATGAATCACAATGTAACACGTGTGTAACTGAAGACTGGGGTCAGAGGAAACTAAATCAGGACTAAAGGAGCTCAGTGGCTTCATAAAGACAATATATTACTCCTTTGAGACTGGAATGGGAGTCAACTAAAGAAATTCGTGGTCAACTAAAAACATGCCCTACCTCAATTAGTTGACTAAAAAGGGAACATGACAAAAGCTCCAAAACTATCATTATATTTTCAGTATTATAATATTAGTATCTCTATGTATCTGACCCAAACTGCAGTCACAAGACTACACCTGCAAGGAAGTTCATACAAAAACAACTATTTATGTAGAAAAGAAAATACTGGGAAACAATATATTTGTATAAAGACAGATTAAACCTGTGAATCATGAGTTTAACATGGCTTTTTACAATACCAAAAAAATACAAAATCTTCATCTAACTCACTTACTAACTTTTCCTTTCTGCTGTTGTCCCATATAAATCCTTAAAGTTTCACTGTGTAACTTTTCTGGTGGAGGGTCTGTTACCGTCTCGTCTCCATGGAGAAGTGGCACAACCAAGCAAATTACAAGTGGAGAGGCGATTGGTGGATGTTTTTTTAAGCAATAAAAACACTTGTGATTGAATAAATGCAAGATAGATACGTTTAACACTCTGGAATATTTCAGGCAAAGCAATAACATCTCTATGGGGAAAAAAAAATAAAATCAAAACCCTCCACCAGAAAAGTTACGCAATGCACCTTTAAATCATTAGTCAGCTACACATCTTGGCTGACTAAGATTCCATCAGCCAATTAATTGACTACAGCCTTAGAGGAAACAGAATCAGGACTAAAGCAGCTCTGTGGCTTCATAAAGATTAATTATTGCTCCGTTGGGACTTCAGCATTGTACCTGCCTCTGTTTTTGTTTGTTGTGAGTCTGTGTGGGGAAAGTATGGAGGTGGTTGGACGGGATTCTTGTGAAAGGGAGTGCTGATAGTCACATGGTAAAGGAAAGTATAGTGTTACAGAACATTTTCAGATTATGTTAAATTAATGGTTGTGGCAAATTAGCAAAGCAAAGTAATTCATTAATAACCCAAACACTCCCCAGTAAAGACTAGTGTTGTCTAGACCTGTCACGGTAACAGATTTTAAAGCACGATATATTGGTACAGAGATACACTGTGATAAACGATAACATAGAAACTACTTTATGCTACTCAATAACAAGAAAGCAAGATAATCCCAGTAAACCATTTTTAAATATATACAGTATCATTAAAAGGCCTCAGCTGCAGCCATAGCAATCACTTATTCAACCCTCTTCATCTTAAATCTTATTGTATTACAACAACAACAACAACAACATCAGCAACAACAACAACAACAACAATCTCCCCACTTTTACAAAGCCATTGTAGACATGATAAATACTGAGTGCCAATATATGTTGTTCCAGCTTTCATATATTATACTATAATTCGTAAATATAGTAAATATAGTGACAGGCCTTGTGTTGTCAGGATACTAAAATTTCAAACTCGATTTCGATACTAAGGAATAGATACGATACTCAATACCCATTACAATACAACAATGATGACAAAAACACTGTTTATTTAGACAATAGAATATGATTTTCAACATTAAATCATAGTACTTTCTTTTATGTTGCCATATGAGTATTGTGTTATATCCCAGTTAGGTTCTATAGTGGTCCATGAATGTTGTCTTACTTGTTCTTCTGATGTAGCTCAATCATCATCATTCTAAAGCTATTCATTTCGGTCCTGTGAATGTGACTTTTTTACTATACTAATTTTAGTTTTGAATAATATTTGATTTTCTATACTTTTGACAACCCTAGTAAAAGATAAACGAATGTGTCCACACTGCACTAAACTGTGGAGTTGGTTGTAACAGAGAGGGCATCCAGGGTAAAACCTACAAAATGCTCATATAACTGGTTCGATGTGGCAGTTATATGAGGATAACTTCGAACAATGTTGGAAAAATATCTGGTAGTGATTATTATTAGATTTGCAACAGAGTTAACCTTGCATATCCTAACATTTCCAGGAGGCGCTTTAACATTTGGGAGACGACTGACATTTGAACTGCTGAACTAATGCAAGAATTGCATGCATTTCAGAACATGTTTGTAGAGCTCGAGTCTATATTAGCAAGTTTTTTAACACTGTGGAGACAGGATATTTGATGTATTTTGTTACACTGCCTAGACATTGTAGTCTCTGGAAGATGTTAGTTGTGGCTATTCAGATTTCATGATAAACCTTGGAGCCGTAACACTGTCAAACAAAACGATTTAAATAAGCATAAAATTATTACTGGACCTATGAGATGAAATGTCAATGTGAGTCGGCCTGTCACGATAACAAATTTTGAAGCACAATATATTCCTACAGAGTAATATTACTATAAACGATACTATTGAAACTAAGTGTCTACATATTCCCACTCCTTTTTGGGCATGTAAATTTATAGCTCTGTGTCATTTGCATATCTATCTCTCAGTTTGATTGTGACTGCTATTTTATTATTTGTGACATGACTTCTCTTTTATAGTTTGCATGTTTGAAATAAATTCATTAATTCAATTGGGAAAATAAATCGAAAAGTAGTAGTACGGCTTATACAAATAAATAAATAAATAGTAGAATTAACTAATAACTAGCCATAAAAGTTACTTTTTCAACCCTTTTCAGCTCAAATCTTATCGTAATACAACAAAACTGACAAAAATCTGCCTACTACTGTAAAGAAAATGTACACACTATAAATACTGAGCTCAAAAATATATGGTTCCAGGTTTCATATTGAACGAAAAATCAATATCTAGTAATTATTGTGACAGGCCTAAGTGTGAGTAGAGCTTGTGTGGTTCTCTGTTGAAATAGTTGGATGTGTGAGGTGAATGAAGACGAGGCTGAAGTGAATTGAGGTCTGTATTTCTGTGTCAGCCTTGTGACTCAGAGACCACAGGGAGCACCCCGCCTAAGGCCCACAGCTGCTGCTTTGGACTCATAACCCTCGTAACTGTTATAAAGATACTTCACAAGTTACTAATATAAGACTAAATGAATCTTTTGGAAGTAGTGTCACAGTACAGTACTAAAATTTCAAAGGTAGTCGTTAACTTGAAAACTACTTCTACACTACATTACAAGGTGGTACAGAGCATTTTGAGCTTTGAAGATGCAGACATGTATTATATAGGATAAAACATTACTACAACATGTGTGAATGAAACAAAACACAACTCCAGGTATGTTTTTGATGAGGTAACAACAACTTGTCTTAAATAATCCATATTGTGTAATCTAGAGCCTTTAAAATGTGGTTAGTTGCACAGTCTTACATTGGCAGTTATTGATAAAACTAGACAAATTGTTTGATAAATGACCTAACTTTGTAAATGAATAGAGTCTGTACAGGCCATGTGTTTGATGCCCTGAACTGTAATTATCCTGGTTTGGTAAAACTCATTAGAGAGGTGATGACGTAATGACAATAAAAGTTATGCAGCAGGGCCTGGCGTGTGCTGTTTGTTTCTCCTGCATACGAGGCCTGTGTAAAGTAAACACCGCTCCGAGCTGTCCGCCTGAGTAAACAGTGTGTAGCCTACAGCAGTGATACTAAATAATAAGAGCTGACTCAGTCCTCTGTTCTGTCTCCTCTGTGTTTTTGTGCAGGTGAAGCTAAAAACATCCCTCCATACCCCGGGCCAAACAAGATGAGAGACTGTTACTGCACCGTCAACCTGGACCAGGAAGAAGTGTTCAGGACCAAGATCGTGGAGAAGTCACTTTGGTGAGAGAGCTCTGTCTGCACATTCACACATCAGCTGGGTTATAGACAGACTTAGACAAAACTTTATTGATCCTCAAAGGAAATTATTTGTATAGTAATAGTAATAGTTCACACATCACAATATAGAGAAAAAAAAAATATATAAATTGTAATAATAAATTCTAAGTAGTCTAACAAAAATTAGCAAGAGATTTCTCTATGGACTATGTATATATACATTTACATAGTCCAAGTAAAAAAACTCAATTTGGTATTATTCTTTATGCAGGCATATTAATAAATTAGAATTATACTTACATTGAATCATCACAGTTTTATTTTGCTATTAATTCCTAACGATGAACAATATAGACATTTAATAATTGCCTTAAGAAACTCTTCATCCAAAGTTTCAGCTCTGCTCCAAATCACATGCTTTTACTGATAGGATTGGCAGTGGAAATTTCCATTAAATGACATATAATTGACTATTAGAGCTGATTGAATCAGTTGCGATTTAAATTAAATTAATTGCACAGGTCTAGCCTACGAAAAATCACACGACACGCTTTACCAAATGTCCTTGTTGTTTACTACTTAAGAGCTTCCAAAAAGAATCATTGTATAGCTTTGTTACAGACATGCTACTGTTGGTACTTGCCAGGTGGTGTCACCTTTCAGTAGAGTCAAAATGTTAACATTTCACTGCATATCCCAGTACAAAAGACTATAGGCCACACAAAAGCAGTAACCACTCTCTGTTTGTACAGCGGATTGATGCATATTTCATCACTGCATGACTCATCGCCCGTGGATGGCTGAGTTGACTGTGACTTAGTTTCCAGGTTAATTTGACAGAGTTTTACATTGGGTTGCATTCAAAAGCCGATGGACAATCTCAGATATTTCTGAATTACGTGGCTCTAATTAACACATTTGTTAACATTTGGAGCTGCACTACAAAAATGAATTCTGTTCAAACATGAAAGGACTATAAAAAAGGAGAAAAAATACCCAACTATTACAAACAAAAGATATATATGATAAATAAATCTCCTTGTCAAAGCCTGTTCTTGTCAGATCTTAGAAGCTAAGAAACAATGAGCCTGGTTAGTACTTGGATGTGAGTTCACTGGGAAATTCAGGGGACACAGTCATTGTTTCCTTTGGCAAGACACTTCACCCACATTGTCTAGAATGTGGTGTGTGCGTGAATGATTGGTGGTGGTGGGAGCAACCAATGGAGCAGATTGGCAGCCATACTTTCATCAGTCTGCCCCAGGGCGACTGTGGCTACAACAATGGCTTTACCATCACTACGTATGGAGTGAATGAATAATGCAAAAAACTGTAAAGCAACTTTGAGTGAAAAGTGCTATATAAGACAATGTATTACTAAATGTTAGGGCCCAAAAGTTGTCCATTATTGTTCATCTTGCTGAATGAATAGTTGCCGTGGAGATAACAGTGACAGGCCAAGCTGCTAAACCCAGACTGTGACTTATGCACTACATATTTGTGATGTTCCCTGTAAACCTGTGGAGCTCTTATGTGCCTGTGTTGTTAGTAACAGAGGAAGTCGGTAATGACGGCGAGCCTTGGGGGCACGACTCATGAGACTCTCATTTCCCCGGCTGTTGTTTAAGTGAAGAGGGGCCCTGTAGCTCAGGCACCTCTAGCCCTGCTTATGCTTACATGGCAAAAACATGAGCTGAGACCATTTCAATTCAGAATTTTATTTTATTTTTTTAAGCTAAATTAATAATAATAATAATATTATTATTATTTACTAGAACAAACCATTTCAATCGATGACTTTTGCGGAGTGTTTTCTGAATCATTGTTCTATCAACAACCTTTAGCTTGTTCTACAATATAATGATAATTGGTCTTTCCTGTAAACGTATTGTGCCCTAATGCTTATTATTGACTGTGTTTGATTAAGTTACTGTTTTTCTTGCAGTCCGTTTTATGGGGAGGACTTTTATTGTGAAATCCCGCGCAGCTTCAGACACCTCTCCTTCTACATCTTTGACAGGGACGTCTTCAGGAGGGACTCCAGCATCGGTGTGTAAATGAGCATTTTGTTTATAAATTATTCAATTAAGATCTTTTATTAATAGTTGCCATGTCATGTTGCAATGGTACAAAGTTTTTTGATCTATGTTATGTCTCCTCATCAAAAATATACCTGGAGTTTTGTTTTGTTTAATTCACAAATGTTAAACATAAGAATCCTGCATTTTTAAGATGAGTGATGTGATAATACAGGAAGTGCTTCACTGAGTATTTGGATAATTTCAGTCATGAATTGCTAATTTCTACAGAACTTAAGTAAAAGGTAGCTGTTAACAAGAAAACTATCACTTCATGACATCTTAAGGTGGAACAGAGCATTTTGAGATGTGACGTAGACAGACTAATAATAAATGGTTTCTGAATGAAATGGGGTGTGAATGAAACAAAACACAACTCTGGGTGTGTTTTTGATGAGGTAACAACATTATATAATATGACTTAAAGCTCACAAAAGATAATTTTACATAATGTAGGTCCTTTAATGAACTTTTAACCTTTTTATAATATTTATTCCTCAACATTAGGTCACCCAAAGTTGTTTCACCTACCCCTGACACCACCCACAGCTCTGTATTTGCAATTATTCCAAAATTTTTGACTTTGGATAAAACACAAAAAGCTTCTCAATTTGTGTAGTTTTGAAAAGTCAATGGTCCTCTTATTATCAAGCTGTTTTGGCTTATTATTGAACATAACAATGAAAAAAAATGCAAAATAGCAATCTTCATGTGTAAAAAAAGCGTTTATTTTGAAGTATGAAATAAATAGCTTGATATGACTTTTTTAAATTGACAGAAAATCATTGAGTACCTGTGTTGGTGTGAAAAATCTGTGAACTACTGCAGCAGCATCAAACCTAACCACACAATCTAATCTCATTTTCCTGTGGTCTAACTGAAGTGAGTTGTCAGGACCCGCCTCTGTTCTTCTGACAGTACTGAATGCTGCTGTGGTTAAATGGGTGGGTTACTGTATATTTGACGTTTGTTGTTTGTTTGTACCACCTGACCACAAACTAAATAATTACTTTCAAAACACAATCTCACCCCATCTCAGATCCTGTGGTTGCTGTAAACACATTTAGCAGGGTCAGTTTTGGGCCACTGCTTTGTACGGTTTTCTCTTGGTTTTTTTCCACTTCTCCCCAGGTGTCTGTTGTAATTAGGAGACTTGAACTAGATTTAGCATTTGTGCAAGTGTAGGCATTGAAATCTGACAACTGTTTAGGAAGTGTGCTTGGGCTGCAATATCAGTTAAGTAAAGCAATATGAATGGGCAATTTTTGAATTTTTGAAGTACCATAAAGGTCCTATATAAATAGATTAGATATAGTGTAATATAGGCCCTTTAATTTCATCCACAAACAAAAAGAAATAGTTTTTTCTGCATAAAACAGCTAACCTTGTAGTTTATATCTATACAAACGTGCTTCAAAATGTGAGTCTTAGTAGTTTTTCAGTTCATTTGTCAGTCTTTTTGTAAATTTTTCTTTAAAATATGAACTTTGAACAGAATCTTATTATCTAAACATAAACTGCAAATTTAATAGCAATACTTGTCAGAAAAATTGCAGCTAGATATTTTTTTCCAAATTGTTCAGCCCTAAAGTGCGCTCTCTCTTCCTTTCTCTCTCTCTTTCTTTCACGCTCTCTTTCTCTTGCTGTCCCCCCCAGCTATCTCTCTATCTCTCTCTATCTAGCTCTCTCTCTTTCTCTCTATCTCTATCTCTCTCTTTTCCTTATCTATCTCTAGCTCTCTATAGTGATCGCTCTCTTTCTCTCTCCATTTATATCTCTCTCCATTTATATCTCTCTATATATCTCTCTATCTCTCTCTTTCTCTCTCTCTCCCTCTCTCTTTCTTTCTCTTACTCTGTCTCTCTTGCTATCTATCACTCTTTCTTTCTCTCTCTCTCTCTCTCTCTCACTAGCTCTCTCTTGCTTTCACTCTCTCCCTCTCTCCTTTTCCTTCTCTCTCTATCTAGCTCTCTCTCTCTTTCTGTCTATCTTTCTCTCTCTATCTCTCTCTTTTTCTTTCTCTCTCTCTCTGTCTCTAATTCTCTCCATTGCGATCTCGCTATCTGCCTCTCTCCCTTTATATCTTTCTATCTCTCTCTTTCCTTCTCTCTCTGCCTCTCCGTCTCTCTTTCTTTCTCTTACTCGCTCTCTCTTGCTATCTCTCTCTCTTTCTTTCTCTCTCTCCCTCTCTTTCCTTCTCTCTCCCTCTCTCTTTCTTTCTGTCTCTCACGCTTTCTCTTGCTTTCTCTCTCTCCCTCTCTCTCCCTCTTTCCTTCTCTCTCTCTCTAGCTCTTTCTCTCTCTGTCTGTCTATCTCTCTCTCTATCTTTTTCTTTCTCTCTCTCTGTCTCTAGCTCTCTCTATTGCGATCTCACTATCTCTCTCTCTCCCTTTATATCTCTCTATCTCTCTCTTTCCTTCTCTCTCTCAATCTCCCTCTCTCTTTCTTTCTCTTACTTTCTCTCTCTCTCTCTCTCACTATCTGTCTCTCTTCCCACCCCCCTTCCCCCTCTCTCCCTCCCTCTGTCTTTTTCTTCCTCTCTTTCTCCCTCTCTCTCTTATTTTAACACTGTTTTGTGTGTTTGTGTGCGCAGGGAAGGTTGCAGTGAAGAAAGAGGATCTGCAGAAGTACCATGGGAAAGACACCTGGTTTCCGCTCCAACCTGTCAGCGCTGACTCAGAGGTTCAGGTCAGTGCACCAAACAAACTGTCTCCAACTCGGCTACGATTATTCACCACTATTTTCCCCACTGAGAGATGTTGTTTTTGGACTTTTTATTTGCCAGACAGAAAAGTCATTACTGCTACTGCTGCCATGTTTTCAGCTTGACATAATCATGCACTTAAAGGAGACATATACAAAATCAACTTGAATGAGATTTTAACCTTGTTATAACAGTATGTCCTTATTAACTTGCCCAAAGTTTTATTTTGAAGGATGTTGAAGATTCATACATGTTTCAGTAATCCTGTATTGTCTTGGATATGAGAAAATTCCAGTTTTCACCTTTATCCTCGTCCAATACATGATACTACTGATACATGTTAAGTTATAAAATATCCAAAATAATAATTGCACTGCACTACTAGGTAAGGCTGTGCAATTAATTGGATTTTGATTGTGATTTTGATTTGTGCGTCAATTGACCTCCAAACTCATATAATCTAATTGAAATGATAACAAAGTTTATTTTCAGATATTTTTTATATAAATAAGTATATTCATTTTATTTTTTAATTATATAAAGATTGTAGAACAGCTGGATATATAGTTTATTTTGGATACATTTATGTTTTTCTATGCCTTATTTCATGTTCAAAGTATATCTTAATCATGTTTTTGTTTTATACATCGCAAAACTGCTCAAAGATACATATTTGTAGCCTATATTTATTTTCAGTTTGAAAGTTATGTGTAAATTATCAATAAAATGTTTGTTTGGAGAGAGAGAAATGCTGAATAAATGCATTGTGTTACTAAAAACTAATTATTTGAATAACCGTGATTTCAGTATTGACCAAAATAATCGTGATAACCGTGATACTACTAGGTGAAGTTACAGGTCAGATCTGTGGATAGGCGATCCAGCTCACAGTAACAATTCTTGAGTAACAGTAAAATGCATGTAATTGAACAAATGCAACATAGATAAGTTTAATGCTAAACTGCGGCAACATAACAACATCTCTGTAAAGACAAGCAAGTGACATTACCTCCAAAAGAAAAGTTACATACCGGATCTTTAAATTACTGACAGTTTAAACAAAATGCCAATGTAGTGTCTAGCCAACATCCGTAAACACAAATCTTATGGATATTTAAGTCTTTTGTGTTTTGATATTCCCTTGAAACCCTGTCAATTCCTTTGCTGTGGGTGTGTTGTATAAACAGATTTGATGATCAAGAGACAATGGGGACATATTGTTAAGGCAGCCAATAACTCAAATATTGACCTTTATAATGTGAACCAGACATTCACGCATGCCTGCTCAGTCACTGCTCCACAACTATTTACTGTACGTACAAGGTATCTAAAACATTTGGGTTAATAGTGGGAGGAGTTCAAATCACTGTGTAATAACAAATGAGATGGAGTTAACTGTTTGATTAACATAGTTAATGATTTAAAGCTGATACACTCTAAGGCTACAGCTCTAAAACTGTTGCGCAGTATTTGAACTCACAGCAGCAGTCACTCCGTCTTTCTCTCTTTCACTCTCTCTTTCTCTTTTACTCATCTCTATGATTTATTTCCCTATCACTTTACTCTCCCTCTCTTTCTGTCTCTCTTTCCCCCTTCCCTCTTTCTCTCTTCCACCTTCCCACTGCTCTCTCTCTGTCTCTCTCTCTCACTCTTTTCTTCCTATACCCTTCCAGCCCCCCTTCTCTCACTCATCTCTACGCTGCTTTAGTTCTACATATGTCCATACTCTCCCTCTCTTCTGGTCTCGCTCTCCCTTTTCCCTCCTTCTCTCTGCTATACCCTTCCACCTCTCTCTTTTTTTCTGTACACTTCCATGTCATCTTTCTCTCTTTCTCCTCTTAACCTCTCCCTCTTTTCTATACCCTTCCACCTCTCCCCTCTTTCTCGTCATTTTTTGCACTTTCACGTCTCTTCTCTCTCCATCTTTCTCTCCATCTTTCTCCCTCTTTTCTATACCCTTCCACCTCTCCCCTCTTTCTCGTCATTTTTTGCACTTTCACGTCTCTTCTCTCTCCATCTTTCTCTCCATCTTTCTCCCTCTTTTCTATACCCTTCTACCGCTCCCCTTTTTCTCTTCAATATTTACACTTTCACCTCTCTTCTTTCTACAGTTCCCTCTCCATCGCTCTTTCTCTGTTCGGTACCCTTCTACCTCTCCTCTCTTTTTCTTCAATCTTTACCATTCCACCTCTCTTCTCTCTCCATCTCTCTCTCCATCTTTTCTGTACCCTTCCACGTCTCCCCTCTTTCTCTTTAATCTTTACACTTCCACCTCTCTTCTCTCTCCATCTCTCCCTCTTTTCTATACCCTTCCACCTCTCCCCTCTTTCTTGTCAATCTTTGCACTTTCACCTCTCTTCTCTCTCCATCTTTCTCTCCATCTCTCTCCCTCTTTTCTATACCCTTCTACCTCTCCTCTCTTTCTCTTCAATCTTTACCCTCCCACCTCCCTTTTTTCTCTTGATCTCTTTCTCTCTCCATCTTTTGTATACCCTTCCACCTCTTCCCTCTTTCTCTTCAATCTTTACATTTCCACCTCTCTTTTCTCTCCACCTCTATCTCTCTCCGTCTCTCTTTCTCTGTTCTATACCACTTCTCCCCTCTTTCTCTTCAGTTTTTACACTTTCATCTCTCTTCTCTCTCCATCTCTGTCCCTCTTTTCTGTACCCTTCCACTTCTCCCCTCTTTCTCCTCAGTCTTTCTCCTTCCACTTCTCTTCTCTCTCCATCTCTCTCCCTCTTTTTTGTACCCTTTCACCTCTCCCCTCTTTCTCTTCAATCTTTACACTTTCACCTCTCTTATCTCTCCATCTCTCTCCCTCTTTTCTATACCCTTCCACCTCTCTTCTCTTTCCATCTCTCTCTTCCATCTATTCTATACCCTTCCACCTGTCCCGTCTTTCTCTTCCCTCTTTACCCTTCCACCTCTCTTCTCTCTCTATCTCTCTCCCTCTTTTCTACACTTTTCTCCCCCTCTGTCGCCTCTCTCTCTCTCTCTCTCTCTCCCTCTCTCCTCTACCCCCTCCCCCTCGCTCACATGGACAGACCCAGCGAACAGTAACATCTGCAGACAGAGGGGCGTGTGTGGCCCTGGAGCTGTGGTCGAAAACAGAGACACATTCATGCTACAACTCACACAGGAAGGATGTGAAAGAGAGAGAGAGAAAGTGAGGATCAAATGGAGTCTGCAGATAGACTGTCCCTCTTGTCCTTTCAATAGTGGACACATTGTTTGGACTGGGCGCGCAGTTGTAAAGGCGTTTTTGATGGAGACACTGGGCCCGTTTGCATACTGATGATCTTAATTAATAGAGGTTTTCTAGACAGCTGCAGCACCACACTGTCATTATGTCATTAAAGAGGCTATTTAAGATGGAAAATAGCTTTTGGTTTGTTTTCACACGGTTGATACAGTCACGACTAGAGATGTAACAATAACCGAAATATTGTGATAGTGTGTCTTCAAAAGTCCCACAGTAATATCATGGACTGTCACAATATACCAAATTACAAGTTCCTTTGCTTAAATGCATGGATTTTAGTAGCAACAGCTTATTAACATTGCAAACTACATATTCCATGATTCATTTCTGTGCAGACACCATGAAGAGATGTTTTTTACTTGAATTCTTGGGATTATGATGGAAATAATTCACACCAAAATCTTGTCAAGGTATTTTAAAAGCAAAAAAGTGTCCCATCTAGAATTATATTAGCCTCTTCAAAATATCGCAATAAATATCGCACTGTGAGATGCATATCGTGATAATATCGTACCGTGAGATTTGGATATCGTTACATCCCTAGGTTACGACAGTTACTATATCAATTTATTGTTTAATATATGAAAGCTAGGACAATATATTTTGGGGCTCAGTATTTACCGTGTGTACAGTTTCTGTGCGAAAGTGAGGAGATTAGGGGTGTTTTTGTTGTAATACAATAAAATTTGAGCTGTAGAGGGTTGAATAACTAACTTCTATGGGTAATTATTGGTTCATTCTGCTATTTACTTGTTGCAACTTGGGCCTTTTAATGCTACTGTCTATTTAAAACAGGTTTACTAGGATTATCTTGCATTATTTTTTTTGTGTCAGTGACTTAAAGGTGCATTGTGTAACTTTTCCGATGGAGGGTCCGTCAAATGCCTTTCTCCATGGAGATGTTATTGCTTTGTCTGGAATGTTTCACAGTATGGCATTAAACCTTTCTATCTTCATGAAGACCAACCCAGACCAAGTTACAGGTCAGATCTGTGCAGAGGCAACTCCCGCTCAGTTAGAATGCTGTTTTTTTTTTGTAGGTATTTTTGACCTATAAAACCACCTATAATTGAATACATGTAAGGTAGAGCTGTTTAATGTCATACCGTGGAATACTCCAGGCAGAGCAATGACATATTCATAGAAACAAGCAGGTGGCCAACCAGCAAGTTACATAATGCACCTTTAAAGTAGTTTCTATATTATTGTTTATCTCAGTATATCTCTGTAGCAATATATTGTGCTTCAAAATGTATTATCGTTACAAGCTTGGATACATTTGTTGATGGTCAAAGATTTCAGCAAAGTTTGTTGATTTGTGCTACATTTGATAATAATTACAGTATTTATAGCCTTAATAAAACATGAACAATACTTGATTCATAATGAACAAATACACAGATTAGGTTTCCTACTTCATTAAATGTTATAGATGTTTTTTCTGTGTATTTATTCTCATCTACACAATGCAGAGGTGACAATGGCTTAATCTCTGTTGTCAATCCCCAAATAATGCAATGTACAGTATCCCTGAGTCTATATAAATGTATTTTAATTATTTTATTTCCTATCAAGCAAAGGAAGGGGATCAGGCCTAAACAAAATGCTTTTGTGGTACTATAATGGCCAAAGTTTGCCACACCCCTGCATATTTCTTTTTGATATCATGACGTGTGATTTAATGCATCAATGTAAAATAAATTGTAGAAATTCAGTAAAGCAAAATAAAATGTGAACTGGCTGTGTTTTTGTGCAGGGTAAAGTGCACCTGGAGCTGCGTCTGAGTGAAGTCATCACAGACAGTGGAGTCATCAACCATAAACTGGCCACACGGTGAGACGTCGGCTTACATAAACACACAAATAACACAGGCAGCCTTTGTTATTTAACAATGACATTACCAACTCAGAGTTATGATTGTGCAAAACTGTCTTCTGTTTTATCATCTGTTCATATCATAGGTTTTAGCTTCCTGTTATATGCAATATTTTGAGGATTTTGAGGGTTTAAAATTGTGTATTGCTATGGCAACGGCCCTAATTTCTCATCATTCTGAAACCCATGGATTAACAACTTGCTTTAGGAGGAGTCTTATGTAACTCATTTCATACGTTATTTTCTGCATGGCAAAGTTTATTCACATCTTGCTTGTTGGTTTAATGAAAAGGTTGCGTAACATTAGCATACACTTGGCATGTCCATTAAGTATATGGGCATGCCAAGTGTATGCAAATATTTATATTTATATTTATATTTATATTTTTTAATCAATATAGAATAGTGATTAAATAATGAACCAGTGAATCTCCCTTATCTTATACAGTTTAAACCTGAATACATTTGTGACTGGTAACATGTGTCCGTCCAGAGGCTGCTGCTGCAGAGACTCTGCTGCAATGATCTGCCAGTGCCTTTCACATCTCTGAGGTGCATGACTTGTTGCCCAGCAACAGTTTTCCCCGGTGCTAAAAATGCTCAAAGGCGCCGGCTTTTGTTTAAGAACATTTAGTTTCTTTTATTTGTGAAGTGACGTCTTGGAATGTGTTGTGTGTGTTTAGTGCAACTGCACTGACCAGCAATTTGCTATATTACATATGTCCATTAGATTGTCACTTTTCAAAACCAAAACATGAAACTAATGCACCTCTGACAACTGAATATTGTGAATAGTGAATATAAACATGATGAGAATCTAATAGACTTTTTCTTGATATGCAAATGATCCTAAAATGTCATTTATAGATTAGATATTAATCAAAATATCACTATACCCAGAAGTTCACAATATGAGTTTTACGTTTAATCAGCTTTTTGCAGCATTTTTTGTATAAACAATATATTGGAAATTAATTTTTTCTTATCTTAAAAACAACATTCCCAATTTCATCAGTATTGTTATAATCTGCCCACCCCATTTCTCAGTATCCAAAATCCACATTGAACATTGAAATTACACAACATTTATGTGAGTCAGCCGCCCGTTAGCATGCCTCGATTGCCTTGTGTGTCTCTGCAGTGATGCTCTTGTGCATGGATTATTCTGTGATTGTGTGTTTGTTTGCTTTCTCCCTGTGTAACACTGTGGAGCCTGATGAATGCGATCTGATGAGGCAGTGGCTGCGCTCTCAGTGCTCACTGGGGATAAGGAGCTTACAGGGCCCAGAGCAGGAGGTCAGCACGACAGATCTCTCTAGAAAGACACGTGTATGAAAAATGAGAGAGAAGAGAGAGGAGAGAGAGACAAGAGAGAGATGAGAGAGAGAGGAGAGAGATGATAGAGAGATAGGAGAGAGACAGAGGAGAGAGAAGAGAGAGGGAGGAGAGAGAGGAGAGGGAAGAGAGAGAAGAGAGAGAGGATGTGCCCATTCACATAAGCCACCGCAGCCATCTGAATGAGTCTGTCCACACACCTCTGCAGCATACAGGGATTACAGCAAAACATGATTAGATAAAGCTTAAAAAGTACTGCATATTTGTTTCACTATATCCATCATTTGATAAACCTAGGCTGTGTAGGGTGGGTGGTATTGGAAAAAATAATGCCTATATTTTGGGGAATTATTTTGATAACAATAATCAGATGTTGTGGTCCATCAGAAATGTTTTAAAATACACCTGTGTGAATGTGTGAACTCCATTCACCTTCACTAGAATCATGTGGATAATGTTAGACTTGGAATTGCCAATCTCTAGTAAACAAAGATAAAAATTCGCTGTTAACTTGAAAATTACCACTACTGACATCACAAAATGTAACAGAGCATTTTGAGCAGCATTATAAAATGGCTTTAAGCTCTCAATGAGATGCAGTGGACAATTACGCTTGTTTCTCGTGATATTGCAATGAAATTAGTGATATACGCGATTTCTTTTCACATTTTCTGATTTTCATGATTCATAGATTTCCCACAATGGCACTGCCACGTATCCACATCCTGGGGCTATGATATAACTCTCCAGTCTGTATTCCTGTGAGTAAATGATTTTTGACAGGAAACGTGGGCGCTTAAAGAATCGCATTAACCTAATATGAGTAATGTCAAGTAAAACAAACAAGTCCGCTCCAGACATCAATGGAAAGTGGAGGCAGAGGACTATCGCTAAAGAGGGAGAGATAGGCTGTGTAGTATAGGCCAAGCAGGGGTTATATAAACAAGCTTATTGGACAGGAAGCGAGCTGGAATTAGTGACGCTTAACCCAACCCTCTCCTTATTCCTTATTAGGAGCCTGTCTGCTATGGCGTGTGTGGTGGTTTGGACGTGGGTGGATTAGGGATGGGACAATAAACAATAATATCGTTTATCAATAATAGTTTGTAGCACATTTGATATAATCGTGATAATCAGCAACAAAGATAATCACCATTTTATCACCAGAATATGCTAGGAATGGGAAAATAGACAATAATATAATTTATCAATAATAGTTTGTGGGACATTTTATATAATTGTGATCATCGCCAACAAAGATAATCACCATTTTGTCACCAGAATGTGCTGAAAAAGCTACTGATACATGATGTTTTCTTCTAGATCACTGTTGTTTTCACTCATAACAAAGTACAATTCTGTAAAATTTATTTAAATATGGAACCTATTCATGATTAAAAGTAAAATTAATCATATGCATAACATTTTAAACTGTCAAGAATTTAACATTTATTGTGATATAATCATTAATCGCAATTATTTGAACCATGATGGTGAATCATGACACCAAATGTGAGTATTGTGCCATGAATAGGGTGGATAGGTGATCTGGCGTGACTAGATCATGTGCATCACTGTGACACAGGGGAAGCGATTTGTCCCGCTGGGTGTCACTCCTCTTTGTTTGGGTGCTAATCCCCTTACGACAGTGATGTCATGTGGGAGCGGGATGGGGCGGCTGGAGGCAGGGCATGTTCTGGCAGGAAGTTACACACTGTACCAGATGAGACACTTTTAGAAACAATGGAATCTATGCCAAGCTTTTTTTCACATGCCCCATGTTACTCTTGATACTTTACAGTGACGTCATGCTGGGGGTGTTCTACATGTATCTTTGATGATGGGATGTTTAGGAGTTACCATGGTGACACAATGCACAGAACAATACACAATAGCAAACATAGCCAAAATGTTTTTTTAAATAGTCTGAAACACAAAATGGATTTAAACAACATATGCGAGAGCCTGTGATCAATACAAGTGTTCATGGTCCTGTTTAGGTGTTTGATTTTCAACAAAAAATGTGAGAGTGATTAACTAAAAAACTGTTGGCCAGTGCTAGCTTCTGCCTGTAATGTTATTTGAGAAAATTTTTCTTTTTTTTAACAGTAAAAATCATCTCAACTGTTGTAGTTCAAGCTATGTCAGTTCTTTATTGTGTTAAAATAAAGCACAGATTAAAGTCTAACAAAGCCTCAGACAGAGCAGTGTCTACAGTTAGCGTCACACCCCCGAATGACATCAGCTGCAAAGTATAAATAGTCACCTTCAAGTACCTTCCAATGATGTAATCCAAAAAGTATCAAAAACTGTACTGTTACTTTACAATACAACTCACTGTTATATGTAGGTGCGTAGTACCGGGTGATCAAAGTTTCAAAGTTCAAAACTGGGACACACCCGGGTTGGGATGTTTGTATAACAATGAGAAATTTGCCAACTGGACAAAACTTTATTTTGGTCGAATACGTTTCACAGCTCATCCAAGCTGCTTCTTCAGTTTCAGTCAGACACTGGTGGACGCTGCCTTATATCTGCCTGCAGGGAGGAGATATTTACCCTGAAACTACTCAGAAACTAACACACCTACTTGTTTACAGTTTCTGTTGGTTAATTAGGCCTGTTCAACTGTACTGAGTGTGGGGTCATATTAGCATAATCATTCAGGCCCATAATGGGTGTTTTCACACCTTTAGCACTGACCTGGCTACCCCTGTTGTTTTCTTTGTTTATCTAACCAACAGAAACTGTAAACAAGTAGGTGTGTTAGTTTCAGAGTAGTTTCAGTGTTGTTAACTCCTCCTTCAGCACCAGAAGGTACCGTCCACCAGCGTCTGACCAGAACTGTAGAAGCAGCGTGGACAAGCTGCGAAACGTATTCAACCAAAATAAACTTTTGTCCAGTTGACAAACTGAATTTATCCTTTTGCCCTGGATTCTACCTGGACAAATGGGGGATTTAACACACATGTTGGTGGGTGTGAGATTGGTCAAAAATAGGGACAAAATCACTGGTTTTGGACAAATCTGTTGGGAAAGGGGACACAGGGCTTGTCTGGTCAACCTACTGTAGTCGCTTGCACTCCCACGATTTTTATTAAGCTACATAGACACATACAAACTACAAACTCATCCTGGTTTTAAACTAGAAACAATCATCTTGAAACCAAAACAAAAAAAGGATACTTCAACCAACTCATGCTTTTAATGTTAAATAACATTTATTAATAGTTATCACCAGGTTTGCTTCTCATCCGGGGACACACAAGTCATTTCATGTTTAATAAATATAAATAAATAGTATGTTTAGTAGTAAATAAATATAAACTTCCTAAACTAGCTTTTTTCTTCTTCCTATTGCCATTACAAGTATTTATGCATTTATTTATTCTTCTGATGCATCAACCCTTACTGCTTCCAGGAGGTCAAAATAGCAATAATAAAGGTATGGTCAAATAAAACCTTTCCCTAGAGGTTTTCTGGTGACTGCGGTATACTCCATATACTATACATCCCTTTTACTTTATGCTGAGGTGATGGGCACACCTCCTATGACCCGGAAAAGCAAAAGTGCTAGAAAGCAAATCAATGAATAAGTTATGATTTGCCCCAAATCCTGTACCACTGTAGTACTACTATAGATCTGTATATTTGTCTTTGCTAGCTTTCATTGCCCCTGTAGAGATATTGAAATGGATGAATCTGTTAACAATGTAAAAAAAAAAAATCTTCCAGTTGTGTTTGCATTTGCAATATAGGGAATATAATATGTAATTTTTAAGCAAAGACGTACACTAATTAATAAAATCTAAAAGACCCATAAGATATTTAGTTTAGCTTTTTATTTTAGAGATCAAGATGTAGCCAAGAACATAAACTGCACTGTCTCAGTACAAAGCAAGATAGCTGAGGAATCATTTTCAGTAGTTTTCTTTTGTGGTGCAGTAATGATGAAACACATATTTGCTCTTTTATCACAAAAATAGTAGCAAAAAATTGTCTGTACGACCACGCTAATGGAAGTCTGTCCCCTCCTGTGCTTCTGTCTCTTCTGTGCCTCTCCTGTGTTGCTGTTTGTTCATCTGCTGTTACAATATGTTACAGTTGGACTATATTTAAAAGTGTTAAAGGAGGACCTGGTCCAACATTTCACAGGCTTGTCTTTCACGCTTTACTTTGGTGTGAACAAGCAGCTCCCACTAGTACTATCCAATCTGGTATTTGAGTCTGTGAATTTAAGAATATATTTGATTTCATGTAAATGAGCTGAAATAAGATACTGTTACAATAATATTATGATTTTGCTGTCTTATTTTGACTTGCATTTTTTTGCTTAAGCCAGTTTCACCGACTTACCTCTTAGCCTCTTTTAGCTTTTTCTAGATTGTCACTTGATGTTTGCAGCAACAAGAATACGACATAATCCAAAAGATTTCATTTTTCATTTTGTACATAGGCTGTATATATAAATGGACAGAGCTAACCTGCTACCCGCCACTGTACAAATAGAAAGTGTTATAGGAGCGAATTTGGAGCTAGCCTCATGAGCTTCATTTAACTCCAGCTTGGATGCTAGGGGTCACGTCACACTCCCTTAGTCCACGTCTTTCTACAGTTCATAATTTAGTTTTACTTTTAATATTAATGATACCTTCTTACTGTGTCTTCCAGTTTGTAAACTCAGATCTACCTTGTAAAGTTGGACACAGAGGAGCAGAAGATAAATCGTCAGACACAGACATAGTCGTATTGTGTTGATTTTGGCTGTGCTGCTGCTGGTGATGCACAGAACAGTCCAGTGGCAGGGTCCATGTGTAGGAGGGCCAGATGTTTGGTGTCCGGAGGAGGGGAGGAGGGAGAGGGTTGTGTCCGAATGACTTTTCTCTTGTTTCAACATCTCATGGGCTTAAGATTGACAACATCAGGAATTTGGGTTCTATGTTTTACTTGGAAGGATCAAAAGGAAAATATTTCACAGTGCTCTTGGACATTTTGGGTTAAATGTGCTTATGCGTGCATGCAAAGTCAAGTCTTTAGAAAGTAAATGTATGAGGTTAAACTGTCCTTCACTTATTTGTATGATTGGCAGACATAGCTGTAGCAGAAGTAGCCATAATGGTTATAATGCAGAGACAAATGCATATAAATGTACACATCTAAGCAGTAATAGGACCAGTATTCAGTATTAGTATTTGTAGTATTTAAAGGCATAGCTTTATTTTATTGTACTTCTGAATTCTTCTAAATAGGTGAACCAAACTTAAAGGGCCCATATTATGCTATTTTTGGATTTATAATGTTGTTTCCTCCTCATATACATACCGTGAGTTTTGCTTTATTTCACTCACACATGTATAACACACAAACCCTGCATATTTAGGCTGAGTTCTCTTAAATGGATGACACTGTGTGATGTCATGTAGTAATACAGGAAGTGCTCTGCTCTGATTCCATACATTTTCACTAGGATCATCTGGATGATATCGGCACTGGAATTGCCAGTCTCTACTGAACTAAAGGGAGCTGTTAGCTGTTAACTTGAAAACTACCACCACATGACATCACAAGGTGGAACAGAACATTTTGAGCTTTGGTGGTAGACAGGTTTCCCCCAACATGTGTGAATGAAACAAAACACAAATATACACAAAAAGTGTGTTTTTGATGAAGAGACACCATTATAACATGACTTAAATCTCACAATAATCTATTTTGTGTAATAATTGTGTTTAAGACTCAGCTATTTAGAATGGCCTTTGATAGCAAGCCTAGAGGTACTTTGTTCGTAATTGTTAATTTTGTCCATCTTTTATTCAGGTTTTATTATTGTGCAGCACTGTGGTCAAACTTGGGACTTTTGAAGTGCTACAGAAACAAATTTGATTGACTGAACTTTATCTTTTTCCAGAGTATGCTTTAATCTCACTTACTTTGTGATTTTGAGTGGTCCTCCTCTGCACAGATGTGTCCCATTCTTGAGTGTACTTTGTCATTACGTTTATACAGGCTCTGCTAGTTTAAGGAGCTTTTAAAGTAAACATGTCATTAAATAACCCCATTAGATATAAATGTGGTTTATATCTGCTGTAAGTGCTGGTTAAGTCTTTCTTCATTACTGTGTGTCTGTGTGCAGAGTGCTCGAGTGCCAAGGACTGCCCATAGTCAACGGACAGTGTGACCCCTATGCTGCTGTGTCTCTGCTGGGACCCTCAAGGTAAAGACGTCCATACAAAATATGTTTATATGTGATTTTTGCATGATAACGTGAAATAACATTTGAGGTCTTGGTTTCAGATCAGAGGCCAAAAAGACTAAAGTGAAAAGAAAAAACAACAATCCACAGTTTGACGAGGTTTTCTACTTTGAGGTACAATAAAATATGTCATTTGTTTACATAAAAAAAAAAAAAAAAAAAGACTTGTCCGTGGTGTCCCTATTTTTGACCAATTTGATACCTGCCAACAGTAAAGAGATCCATAAATTGTCATTTGTTCAGGTAAACTACAGAAAAACATGCTTAAAAATTACCAAAACACAAAGAAAATGTGACTATATTGACTCACATGTTAGTCATGAATGGGCTGAGTGCAGAACAGTTTTCCTTAATTACGCACTTGTTTCATAATTTTATTATTACCAATCAGTTTTGATTTTGAAAATCTGGTCACTCTAAAGTTAATTAAACATGTGTGAATGAAACAAAACATGACTCCAAGTAAGTTTTTAAGGAGGTAACAACATTCTAACATGGCTTAAATCTCACAAGACTCAATTGTGTAATATAGCCACTAATATATACTAATAATATATACTCAGACAATATATTTTTGAATTGATAATTTTGATAAAGTTACTTAATCTATAATTCCAGTGTCCCACAAACCAGTAGACTTATACTTATTAGGCTGTTGTTAATTGTGTTGCATAGCCACACAACAAAACAAGTTGAAAACCTTTTACCAGATCTTCAAACATTTACATCAGTCTTCCTCCGATTTCTCACATCACACAACATTGCTTGATAATTAATGCAATAGGCAGAGGCTGAACAATCTGAGAAAAATAAATCATTGAGATTTTTCTGTGTTGTGATTGCTATTAGATTTTCTATTTATGCTTTATTTATGTTTTAACAATGAGATTCTGTTCAGAGTTCACATTTTAAGCACATTTGTGACTAGGCCTATAAACGGCTACAAGGACTACGCCTATAATCTGATACAACGGTTAGGGAATCAAATTTATTTCAGAACATGTCTTTACAGATCTAAACTACAGGGTTAGCAGTTTTTTATGCAGAATAAAATCCAATATTTAGTTTGTGGAGGAAATTATGGCACTTTAAAATTGCAGCCTTTGTAGTTAGCTAATTTAGTCTAATCAAATTACGATTTTGATTTGATTGCGATTCATCTAGAAGCCCTAACCATACACACACATACTTTCTTCTGACCATGTCCCTATTAACCGCAAACTATGGTGACGTTTTACAGGGTTAGCAGTTTTTTATGCAGAATAAGACCCACATTTTACTGGTAGTTGTTTGTGGAGGAAATGATGGTACTTTAAAATTGCAGCCTTTGTAATTTGCTAATTTCGTCTACTCAAATTGCAGTTGTGATTTTGATTTGATTGCGATTCATCTTGCAGCCCTAACCATACACACACATACTTCTTCTGACCATGTCCCTGTTAACCCCAGACTGTCTCTTGCTCTATGGTGACATTTTCACCTCCTCTCCCTCCCTTTTCCCCTTCCTCTCCCCTTCTCTCCCCTCCCTCCTGCTGGGGCTCAGAAGACTCAGGACAAGAGTATGATTGATTCAGACAAACCACCAAACAATCCCACCCATTGACTTCTATTGAACAAAAACATCTTATTCCCCCAGCCACATAAACAGCCCTTCATGTTCTACTGCGGTCTGCATCCACACGCTATCTCTCAGGCTTTGGCCAATTTCTTATTTAAATTTGAATTCTAAGAACTTCCTATAATGACAAATCCATGATAAGTATTACGTCCAATCAACTTAAATTAAAAGCTTGTTTCAACTCAGTAATATGGGCTCATGTGCTTTTAATCCAATAGCTCTGGCATGTTCTAGTTGGGTTGTTGGCTTTCCAGAGCTAGCAGAAATATTGTTTTTGTTTGTTTCCCCAGGTTACGCGACCATTGAGTCACACAAAGCGGCAATTTGACGTAGAAGAAGAGGATGTAGATAAATTAGCATTAAGGTGGGGAAACAAAACATTATTCAGATAAGTACTGAACAGTGCGTTTGTGTTAAGCCTGTTGTTCTTTTTGTGTGTTTTTAGGGTGGATCTGTGGAACGCCAGTAACCTGAAGTTTGGAGATGAGTTTTTGGGTGGGGTCCGTGTTCCTCTCAGGGTCCTGGGACAAGCAGGGGTCCATGATGCCTGGTGAGTAAAGGGAGGAGTTCTTTTTTTCTTGAAAGATTTGGATTTATTTATTTTTTGTTTAATTTTATATTTATTTAGATATAACAAATATTATACCATAGACCAGGCATCTCCAACCTGTAGCTCGGGAGGTATCAGTAGCTCTGCACCTCCTTTCAAGTAGCTCGCCAAAAGATTTCTGAGATTTCTTGTCCTGAATAACTCAAATTTGATTAATTAAATGCCTATTGCCCATTATTATTGCAAAACTATCATTGTGATGCCTGACTTTGTGCTCTCATAAATATATAATGGTTTATGTTTTATCTAACTGTACCCCGTCTAAGTTTTCCAATGGCTTTTATGTACACATAAATTCCTGCAACTGTCTAAACTAGTAGCTTTTTGGCATTTTCATTTTGTAAAGGTAGCTTACCGGAGGAAAAACATTGGAGACCCCTGTATAGACTGTACACAGAAGTGGACTAAGGGAGTGTGACGTCAACCATAGCATTCAGCTCCAGTTAAATTAAGCTCACGATGCTATCAGTTATAGAGGTGAATTTGGAGCCAGTTCCATATTAGGAATTTATTAAAAAAAAATAGCAAATACCAGGATCACCAGGTAGAGCGGATTAATACAGACATTTTAAGACCAAAATGACAAGACTCTCTGCAGCAGTTACAGTGGGTCAGTCAAGTGAATTTGAGCTGGAAGCACCCCCATGCTTTCTTCCTATTTAGAATGTGGCTGTCAGCAGGTTAGCTATGTCCATTTATATATACAGTTTATGTATTTTACAGACAAATATCTTCTATTTAATATTATAACTATAATATCTTTCCCTTGTACTTTAATGGTCTTTTTCATTTCTGCACATGCATGAAACCACCTGATTTTCTCCTTTATTGCTTTGCCTGGAATGGCTCACAATATGAAATAAAATCTAAGTTTCATGCATTTATTCAGTTACAGCTGTTTCTTTATGTGGGTGAGCTCACATCTTCACAGATCAGACTTGTAACTTGCCCTGGTGGTGCTGTCTATTTTGCTTTTATGGAGATATGTTTAATGCCATACCGTTGAACAGTAGAATTACCAAGTGTGATTTTCCCATATACTCCATCTCTATTTGTACAACTTTCAGTAATACATGATAGTTGCTAAAATCATCTGTTCTGTCCCCTTCGTTGCACAGGTACTTCTTGTTGCCCAGAGAGAATGGGGGGAAGTCTGTGAAGGTGGAGGAGCTGGGATCACTGCGTCTGAACATCGTTTACACTGAAGACCATGTTTTTCCCTCAGAGCACTTACACACCACTCAGAGACCTGCTGCTGCACTCTGCCAATGTGGAGGTCTGTATCTGAACCAGCTCTTTAGGTTTATAAAGTTAGGTATATGGAGAAGTAGTGGCTAGAGCAGATGCCGGCAACTCTGACAACAGGTAGAGATGTCAAGACTATTCGAGTAATTGATATAGTAACTCATGTAATCGTACCTTTTTCTCAGACGGGAGAGTTTGTTTACCTGCTTTACATGTTTCGGCTCCTTCCTGTAGCCATCCTCAGGAGTGTCACATGATGGTGTAGTGACAAGTCTTGTAGGCTGCTTTACATGGTTTTGCCAAACAGTAGAGGAAGCTTGCGCCCCCTTCTGTCTGACGCCTTCTACAGGACTGCATCTCGTGTGTGTTAGGATGTATGCTCCCTCATCACGGTTTATGCTCCTTTGACGTCGTTTGCGTTTCTGATCCAGCTGTGGTATTTGTAGTTTTCAGTAAATGAAACCACTGGATCAGAGAGGAAGGAGCTAAAGCTTCTGTCTGACGAACAAACTCTGCCATCTGACGAAAGCAATTGTTGATTCAAAGCTCAAGTGAAAGCTTAACTGAAGACAGAATGAATCTTTACCAAAGAAACAATATAACAATATAATATATAGCAGTGTTTCCCGCAGCGCTTTATAGTTAGGGCGGCTTGACAATAGTTGCCCCCTACCTTGACTATGTCTCTCAGAAAAAATAAATAAATACTGCATTAATAAGGTTGTCGCGTCCTAGGACTGAATAATATAATCGTAAAATAATACATTAGGTAATTTTTACTCAATATATACTGGTAGTCCAATAATAAACCTAAATGTAAAATGATTTTTCTATGAATGGTGAAAGTCACATTAGTTTATAATTCAGAAAGTTTGATTTCAGGAAGCCGGTCACATTTTAGAGAAATGGTGAATGAAAGAAAAATAAGGTTTTCACGGTTGGTCATGGCTTTAATGGTGAAAGGCCACTGACTCATTATTCCTGCCACTGCTCCCTTAGTCTGCTTCAGGGCAGCTGTGTTGTCTGAGATAGTTTCTTATCAGCAGTATGTCTGAGGAGTAACATGTATTTAATGGCTTCATAAATATTTTACATAAATTCCATTGTAATTATAGTATTATCATCATTATTTCTTATTTTATGTGCAGCCCGTGTCGGCATCCACGGCTCATATCCTGGGGGAGGTTTGTCGGGAGAAGCAGGAGGCCGCCATCCCTTTAGTGCGTCTCTTTCTTCACTACGGCAAAATCGTGCCTTTTATCAGCGCCATTGCCCACGCAGAAGTCAACAGGACACAGTAAGCTCCCACTCTCATTTAGGTTGATTCATTCTTTCATTTGTGATAATTCATTTATACTGTAACTTCTTCCTTGTATAGGGATCCTAACACAATTTTCCGAGGAAATTCACTGACATCCAAGTGCATTGACGAAACCATGAAGCTTGCAGGAATGCACTATCTTCAAGTCACGCTCAAACCGATCATAGATGAGGTATGGCATTATCATTTGGACAGTTCAAGCTCTTTTTGGTGTTTGATATAATTTATGTCAGATGTCTGTGGAAATGTTCAGAACGTTTTCGATAAATTACAATATCTTTTTTCCAATCTTTGCAGATCTGTACAGACCATAAACCTTGTGAAATCGACCCGGTCAGGCTGAAAGAATCGGAGAACCTGGACACAAATAGGGTAAGGCATCCAGATTTTTTTGGCGAAATGTGTTTTTTTTTTTAGGCAATAAAAACATGTGTAATTGAATAAATGCACAATAGATGACTTTAATGCCATAATGCGGAACATACCTAGCAAGGCAATTACATCCCTATGGAAGCAAGAAGGTGGCAATCCCCCTCCAATCCGAAAAGTGACGATAGCATAGTTTATAAGTACATTACATTACATTTTACATAATAATAAACCTTTGGGCTTTCTCTTTTGTTGATTTGGATTTAATCAGATATTTTGCCTTTCAGGAAAACCTTCGTCAGTACGTGGACCGAATCTTCAACGTAATCACCACTTCAGGCGTACGTTGTCCCACCGTCATGTGTGACATCTTCTTTTCTTTGAGGGAATCGGCTGCCACGCGTTTTCAAGGTAACACCACAAAAGATCGGAAGCAGAACAAGTCATCAACTGCATAATGGTAATGGACAGGAAGCAGGAAGAAAGAAATGTACAGGATGTGCACGCAGCCCAAGGACACTTCTCTTTATTCACACAGGATCTCTGAAAAGCTTTTTGTGCTCAGCTATTTGTGTCAGACCTGAAACCACTTAAGCCCGCAGGCAGCAGGCTCATACTGTGTGTGTGGGTATGATATGCACTGTGAGGGTATTACTGTATGTGTTGCGCTTCCCCCTGCTGGTCAGCTTGGTGTAATACAGACAAAGCTCATTATTGAACCGAAATATGTTGATTTCAAATATAATAAAACACTAATGCAGCTAGTGGACTCTGATTTACCTCTAGACTAAAGATAATTTTTAGACATAAATGATCAAATTATTTTTTTACCATTATATTTTAGACCTTAAATGTGCGCTGTGTAACTTTTCTGGTGAAGTTTCCGTCACCTTGTTTTTATGGAGATCATTGCTCAGCCTAGAATGTTATACATCATGACATTAAACTGCTCTCCCTTACATTTATTCAATTACAGTGGTCTTATAGCTCAAAAATACCCAGAAAAACAGGCATTCTGGCTGTGAGCTGGGTTGGCTCTCCACAGATCTGCTCAATAACTTGGTTTGTCTACATGGTGATGGAAAGGTTTAATACCATACTATGAAACAGTCCAGACAAAGTAAATAACATTTCCATGGAGAAAAGCATTTGGTGGACCCTCCACCTTTTAAAAAATGCTTTTATTGGATATTTATGTTTTATTGTAAAAAAAAAAAAATGTATATCCACTGATTTTACATAGTGTGAAACAAAAAAAGCTTCAGACAAAGTCCATGTTTCTGCTGTTTGTGTCTATAGGATTAAGTTGGAGCTCTGATGTCACACTTAAAGGTGCACTGTGTAACTTTTTCAGGTCCGTCAAGTGCTTTACTCCATGGAAATGTTATTTACTTTATCTGGAATGTTTCACAGTATGGCATTAAACCTTCCCATCATCATGGAGACCCAGACCAAGTTACAGCTCAGATCTATGGAGAGGCAACCCTGCTCACATTCAAAATGCCTGATTTTATAGGTATTTTTGATATACAAAACCACCTGTAATTGGATTAAATGTAAGGCAGAGCTGTTTAATGTCATATTGTGAAACAGTCCAGTCATAACAATGACAACAAGCAGGTGAGAGACACCCAACCAAAAAGTTACATAATGCACCTTCAACAGTCCCATAGTTTTTTCACCATTTGTTTATGTCAACAAAACGAACCACTGATGTCTGTAAAGGTAATGACTTTGCTTTTTGTTTTTCCTCCCCCTCTCAGTCGACCAAGACGTCCGATACACCGCTGTGAGCAGTTTTATCTTCCTCCGTTTCTTCGCACCAGCAATTCTCTCCCCAAACCTCTTCCAGTTACGACCGCACCATCCAGTGAGTTACACAACATCAACTCTTTTTCTTAATTTTTTTCTTTATTATCATATTTTTTTGTATTCTATCTTTCTATTTAGAAGACATCAGATATATGAAGTAAGATTTCTGGAATTATGTGGCAAAGCAAAAGTTTAAATATTTTTTGACATTTTATATTCAATTTCTCAAAGTAGTCATCCTTTGCTTGTACTTGTTTCTGTGGAGATGTGACTGCTTTGCTTGGATTGTTCCATAGTATGACATTAAACATATCCACCTAGCATTTATTCATTAAAAAACACAATAATACTTCTGTGAACAGGGGCAGCTCTCCACAGATCTGAATTGTAATGTAGTGTATTGCTGTAACCTGCTTGTGTCCCTTGTGATAGATGGTTTAATCTATACTGTGGAACATTTTAGACAAAGCAATAACTTTTCCATGGAAGCAGACAAGCAGGTGATGGACCTTCCAGTAGAAATGTTACACAGTGCACCTTTAACATTCTTTCTTTGTTACATAATTCCATATATCTTACTTCATATATCTGATGTCTTTTGTATGAAAGCAGTAAAAAGAAGAAAAAAGAGTCCAAACTTTTGATTGGTAGTGTAAATGAAAATGTGGACCTATAATCTAATGTGAAAGACAGATATTAGTTTTCTTATAAATTGCTTTTTTGCGTAGGACCCTGCCACTTCTCGAACCCTTACTCTCATCTCCAAAACTATCCAGACTCTTGGAAGTCTCGCCAAATCGAAATCTGTGAGTTTGAAAAATGCTTAAATGTGACCGCTTTATGTCCTTTTTTTATGTCCAATCTCTAACATCTGTTTTACACTGGTTTTCTCTTTTAGGCCAATTTCAAAGAGTCCTACATGGCGGCATTTTACGATTACTTTAATGAGCAGAAGTATGCTGATGCAGTGAAAAATGTACGTCCTGGTTTGATTTCCCATTGAACAAAAGGAGCTTGTGTGGCTGTGGTTTTAAAAAAATGTGAACGATGTCTTACTGGCAATAAAATATGCCTTGTGTTTTTTGTTTTTATAGTTCTTAGATCTTATTTCAACATCAGGAAAGTGGGATCAGAAAAGCATCGAAACACCTATCATGCTAAAAGAAGGGTAAGTTCACAATTTTACAATATGTAACGATGTTTCTTAAAAGATACACATTTAAAACATAGAATAAAGCTGGAAATCTGTACACTATATAAGACATGTATAATTTTGGATGTGGAAGCACTTTTTTCCCCCATTTTCACATTTAGATCATTTCTATTTTTGTAGTTTGTAGCATCAGTGGTATTATGTATGATTATGTAAATAAGAGTTGTTGTTTTTAATTTTGTTTTGATTAAATTCATTCCAAAAAAGTAGTAACTGGATTGACGTATAATAGGCTTCTAAAAGGATTGAATTTGGCTTTTATACCATTTAACCATTTTTTTTAACCTATAGTGATTTTATATAGAAAATATTTTTTAATTTCAAATAGACAAATGGCTCAGTTTAGTATTTAAAGATGCACTGAGTAATGTTTCTGGTGGAGGGTCCTTTATTGCTTGTCTTCATGGAGATGTAATTGCTTTGCCTTGAATGTTATACAGAATGGACTAATAACTAGGGATATAACAATAACCAGAATATCGTGATATGGTGTCGTCAAAGTTCTCACAATAATATCGTGGACCATCACAATATGTCGAATTGCAAGTCTCTTTGTTTAAATTAAGAGTTATGGTACAGCAATAGGCAAAAAGACAGCGGGAACTACATAGACCATGATCCTTTGCTCCATTTCAGTGCAGACTACATGAAGAAATAACAGTTCTAGTTCTAGCAGTTTTAAGTCTTAGTTCTTTGGATAAAGTCTTGTCAAGGCATTTTAAAAGAAAAAGCAAAAAGTAGCGTGTTAACAGTTTTGTTAGCATTCACAAAATATTGCAATAAATATAGTACCGTGAGATGTATATTGTGAAAATGTCGTACCGAGAGACCTGGAAATTGTTACATCCCTAATTGTGAGCCTCCCCACCATATCCTGAGTTTTCCCACAATATCACAATAAATATCGTACCGTGAGGTTCATACCGTGACAATATTGTACAATGAGACTTGGATATCATTACAGTTACACCCCTACTAATAACTAATCACATCGAGAAAAGTTACTGAATTTAAGGTATTTTTGAGCTATAAAACTGCCATACTGTCACTATGGAGACAAGCAAGTAGCCGGCCCTCTGCCTTAGAAGTCACATAGTGCACCTTTAAGTCTTCAAGGTACAACTCAGCCACTAACACAAGGCTGTTTTTAGTACCATATTTTCTAGTTGCTAGTTTAGTCATCTACATCCCCACCTTCTTCTGTTAATGCTGTCGTCCTAAAGGAGTGTAAAACTCACTATAAAGAGGGTTGATGGTAAGGGGTCAAAGCACAGCACTAAGGGCAGGTAAGAGCGTCTGTGAATGGAGCTTTGCCCTGTGTCCCCCCTGTGTGAAATGTCCCCCCGACCCAAACCAACCAATGCATTAGGAGCCGCTGTTAGATGCTATAGGACTTTACTTTATATCTAGTGACTACCATATATGTCCTAAAGGTCTTATATTATGCATTACTGAGGCTTTTTTATACAGTTTAGGGCAGTGGTTCTCAAAATCTCAAAAATCTTACCACCGCCCAAGATAATATTTGGCTTTCCGAGAGCTTAACCTAGACTTTATCAGGTCTAAAGTATGGATAAATATACTCAAAACATACACTACGGCATGTCTAAAATGGATAAAGTAGTTCTAAATAATCCAAAGTAAATAAATATCAGTAGCTTTGTTTCTAAATTAAACAAGCACTCAAACTGTAGAAAACCACCAGAGGCATTTTGAGAAACAATGGTTTCTCAAAAAGTAAACGCATTTCCTCCATGATATCTGAGCATGTAAAACACCACAAGGGCTGCTGCAAAGTCATTTAAGGACTGAAATGCTGTAATTTGTCTGCTGAAGGTATAAAGTGAACAGCAAAAATATGTAGGAACACTTCATGAATTACCACACTCTGACATGACAAGATGGAGTAGAGTGTTTTGGCCTCAGATTGATATTAAATGACATTTTGCTAGATTATTCAAACAGGTGTGAATGAAACAAAACCCATATCTAATGCTAATATTGACAAGGAGGAAGTATTAGAACAGGGCCAAAGCTCAAATGTTTAGTTAGCATAATATAGGCCCTTTAAACAGTTCTGATCATAGACAGTGCCCATTGGTTACACTGGTATAAAGTAAAGTGGTCAAGCTTGCTATTAGAAATCTTAGATGGTGCCGGAAACGCTTGGTGTAATAGTTCCAGCTGGGGTGAAGATATTGCCACATAATCTGATGGGTTCTTTCAAGATTAGAGATGTAGAGATGTCATTTACAGCCAGAAAGGTTTGTTTTTGCTGATATTTTGTCCATTTTAAGTTTAAGTTTAAATCGCTTGACAAACTATTTAAATTATTTGTAATTCTTCCTCAGTAATTCAGACAATTCTATCATGTCTTGACAACATTCTGGTGTACTATGTAACTTTTCTGGTCAGGGGTCTGAATCCAGCTCTTCTTTCGATGGAGATCATCACAAAGGAGACAAAATAATGATGCCCAAAGGCCAAGACACAAGTCAGATCTAAGTAGATGCACCCCTGGTCATATTAAGAATGCAGATTTTTCTAAACTTTTCTTAACAATAAAAGCACATGTAATTTTAAAAATGTAACATGGAGTTGAATGGCATATGTTTTGCCATAATATTACAGGCAAAACATCTCCATGGTAGTTGCCCTTCACCAGAAAAGTTGCATAGTGCACCTTAAAGTGTCGATATTGGAGTAACAGTACTTTCAGATTTGCTGTCTGAATATCACATCATAATGGATAATATTTAGGAAAGATTAAGTTCAGTATCAGATCCAAATCCCAGACCCATTTGGTGTCTAGACCCTGGTCCACTTTATCCCATGTGACATACCAAAAACACAGCTTTTCCTTGTGGTTTCTTTCCTCGAACAAACCGCCTCGACTGTGTTACATATTTTTTCCCTTTATCAGCAAATAATGTACACTTCATGGTGTATTTATGCATTAGTTATAACAATTGGCAAAGGCCCTGCTTTAGTTTTTGTTTTGTTTTTTTGCATTGATTGAACAAAACTATAATTTTGACTTTGATTTCATGAACCAGGAGTCACAATGATTTGTACACAATTTGTTGGTCATTGGAAAAACTATGTAAAATAATTGTTAAACTCATAGACTGTGATTTCTATGAGAGCTGTACAGAGATTATAGATCTGTACAGCAGAACAGAGGAGACTGAGAGCATGCTCCTCTGGTGTATTTTACTACAGCAGGCTGATGACAGAAGCATGCAAATGAAAGCTTGCATATAACAATTCAATATTGGTGGTATAGTTATTGACATGGACACAAATTGTTTAGTTTATAAAAAATATAGGTACTTAACTTTAACTTTATCTTATAAAAAATACTGATGCACCAATACAGCCTTTTTCAGTCAGTACATTTTTCTACTTGATATCAACCAACACCAGTGTAAAGCCTTTTAATTTTAGTAGTAGTAGTTGTAATTATAGTAGTAATAGTAGATAATAGTAGTAGTTTTTGTAGTAGTGGTTGTAGTAAGTAGTAAACATTAGTAATAAGTAGTAAATATGAGCTATAAGTAGTAGTAGTAGTAAGTTTTGTCTTAGTAGTTGTAGTAAGTAGTAAATATTAGAAGTAAGTAGTAAATATAAGCTGTAAATAGTGGTAGTAAGTAGTAGTAGTTTTGCAGCAGTAATAGTAATTTTGTAGTTTATTCGGTAGCACTATAAGGACATAGACTATAACCCCATTTAGATCAAGATATGATCGAAAGGGTTTAGGCTGAATTAAAAAGTACACTGTTAAACAATGACAGTGACTTAAAACAAATGAACTGATTCAAGAATTTTTCAGTACATAACATACATGAATATAATATTGCATAAATCACATTAATACTATTTCAGAGTCAACAGTGACCAGTAACTAGTCTTTACGTTTTTCTTAATTTTTAGCATCTTAAATCAGACTGGTATTGGTGCATCTCTAACAAAATCAACTGAAATTAATTATTTTCTTTTTTTATTTATTTCTAGGTTTATGATAAAGCGAGCCCAAGGTAGAAATCGTTTTGGTATGAAGAACTTCAAGAAGAGGTGGTTTCGTCTCACTAACCATGAATTCACCTACCACAAAACCAAAGGTGCGTTTACTGTCTTACTGAAAACCAATGGTGCATTCACTGTCCCATGGAGCTGTGCAGTGCAGTGGTTTCTTACTGTGTGGAGGAGGAGTGTGAGAAACAATGGGGGAAAGTGCTGAATGTTCACTTGGCCCAGAGCTGTGTCTCACATGTGTGCCGCAGATTCAGTTACTGAGCAGGCAATAATTCTGCTGCATCCACCCCAAGAGCTCCCACACTGTAGACTGTTGTGTGCAGAGGTGCAGACGAAGCATATATTACGTTAGATTAATTACTTTAAAGGCCCTATGTTACCCAAAACTTACTCTTCTGAGCTTTTAACTATTTTAGAATGCTGTTACTTCCGCATAAACATACTTGGAGTTGTGTTTTGTTTCATGTTTGAGTTACCCTGCATTGCTGGGCTTTGTACATTTCCAAAGCTCAAAATGCTTTGTAATGTTATGTAGGGGTAGATTTCAAGTTAACAACTACCTTTTACTTTTTGTTCAGTAGAAATGGGAAATTTCAGAGCTGAAATTATCCAAATGATTCTAGTGAAGTGTGTGGAGTTTAAAAAACACAGTTGAGACATTCTGTATTACCACTTGACATCACAAGGTGGAAGAGAGTGTTTTCCATCTGAAAGAAGAACTCGGTCTAAATTATGTTTGTGTGTTAAACACAAACTCCAGGTATGTTTTTGATACAACAACATCATAATATGGGCCCTTTAATTATCTAGCACAAAGTAACAGTAAGTGCAGAAGATATTTGAATCCTAGTTTAAAAGAATGTAATGCAAAAATAAATCATTTAATAAAATAAAAATTTGATTTAACAGCAATGAAGTCCTAAAAAGTAAGGACCATTAAAAAAGGAGACATTAAATGAATCAAAATAAGGAAAAACAAGGAACAAACATTCAAAAAAATAGTTTAGTTGTAGTTTTAGTATGGTATGGTATGGTTTGCTTTTTATTTGTACATGGACAGTGCACAACAATACATTAACTAAGACAGAAGTTGTAGTAATATATTCATATATTCATGATTTATTTTTGATGTTGTCACATTTTTTCTTTTTGTGGCTGTTCAATGTTGTTGTGTTTATTGTGTAATAAAATAATGTGAACTGTTAAATAAAAGTGAATATTTGTGCTGTTGCCCCTGACATGCTTATGCAACAGATTATGCATCCGGTGATTATTTAGTTCTGTTCTGGCAGTTTGTTTCAATGTGCTCCCCTTGTCTTCCAGGAGAGGGCGCCCTGTGCAGCATTCCCATAGAGAACATCCTGGCAGTGGAGCGACTGGAGGAGGAGTCTTTCAAAATGAAAAATGTAAGGCCCACACACAGCGACTTTTGTCAGACCTTTGGGATTTCAAACTTCCAATAAAAACTACTTCTTGCTTTTCCCAAAATTCAACTTGAATGTTTTTCTTGTGTTAGATGTTCCAGGTCATTCAGCCAGAGAGGGCGCTCTACATTCAGGCCAATAACTGTGTGGAGGCCCGTGATTGGATTGATATTTTGACCAAAGTGAGCCAGTGTAACCGCAAACGCCTCAGCACGTACCACCCCTCAGCTTACCTCAACGGCCACTGGCTCTGCTGCAAACTGTCTGCAGATACAGCTCCTGGTTGTACCCCCTGCACCGGGTATGTCCCTGTCTGTTAATGTCGTCACCATACTAAAACTTCTAACTCCATTTCATTACCAAGGAATAGACTCAATACTCAATACCGATTCCGATACCACAGTGATTAAAAAAAATGTATATTCTAAAGCCATTCAGAAAAGGTTCATTTCTGTCTTGTGAATTGGACATTTTTAGAATCGCTACTTGCTCAAAAAAGTATCTACTTTCAATACTAGTTTCAGTATCAATTAGTATTTGATTTTTGATACTTTACTCCTACTGTCTATAAACTGGGATGTTTTACTTTTTTTTATACTTATCTTTCATTTGTTCATTTTTCAGAGGTCTTCCTGCTAACATACAGCTAGACGTTGATGGAGATCGAGAAACTGAAAGGATCTACTCCCTGTTCAGTACATACATGAACAAACTCATCAATATGCAAGGTCAGGAATCGTTACTTAATCTAAAATACAAAGTTGCAAAATATTATTCATCTTATGACATTGGCCTTTATGCAGTAAATTTTAATGTACTATGTACCAACTTCAGAACCATGCATACATTTCTTAAACAAATTGTCATTGATTTGATGGTAACGACACGGCCCATTTCCATAACCAATTTTGATACAAACCCACACAACTCCCCACAAGAGCTGTAGCTTTGAGATGTTCTGACCAAGTTATCTTCAGAAATTCTTGGAAAATTTCAAATATTTAACAAATTTGAAAGATGTGTAACATCTAGGACAAAATGATCACTTGGTGGTTAGTATCATAAACTCTGAAAGATGCTGTAATCAATAGTATATAAATAAGACTTATTCGTAGTTCTAATGAGATCAGCATAATATATCACAATCAAATCAAAATCGCTATTTGAATTTGAAATCACAAAGACTGAACAGAGTGCAAATATTGTGTCTTTAGAAGAAAAATCTTGCGGTATCTGTAGTTTATAATTTTACAAACATGCAGTGAATTTTTTATTTAGTTTATCAGTTCATATTTGTCGAAAACATCAAAAAGACAGAGGTGAGTTTGTTCCATTCTCACTTTTTTGAGTAATCCTGCATTATTAGTCTGTCTACATCTTCAACCCTCAAAATGCTCTCTTCCACCTTGTGATGTCATAAAGCGATAGTTTTCAAATTAACAACTACCTTTTAGCTTTTGTTCAGTCCAGAGCTGAAATCATCCAAATGATTCTAGTGAAGGTGTATGGAGTTTAGAAGTGGAGTGGAGCACTTCCTGTATTACCACATGACATCACAAAGTTGAACAGAGTATTTTCCATTTGACAGAACTCAGTCTAAATATGCAGGATTTGTGTTAAACATGTGTGAATGAAACAAAACACAACTCTGGGTATATTTTTGATGAAAAAACAGCATTATAAGATAGACTGGAAAATAGTGTAGTATGAACACTGTAAACTATCTAATTGCAGTAGAAAAATTTGAACAAATTATGCCACACTAGTGCTTTTCATGCTTTTTGTCATCTGGAATGTTTCACGGTGTGGTTTATTAAACCTTTATATCTTCATGGATACCAAACCAGACCAAGTTGCAGGTCACATCTGTAATTGAATAAATTTAAGGTAGAGCTGTTTAATGTCATACTGTGAGTAATGTCATATCCATAGAAACAAGCAGGTGACAAACGCCCAACCAGAAAGTTACACAGTCCACCTTTAATTGCCTTTTTGATGTATAACTCTTAACTATTCTTCCTGAACAGAGGCGTGTGGCAGTAAGTCAGTGTACGATGGTCCAGAGCAGGAGGAGTACTCGAGCTTCGTCATTGATGATCCTCAGGAAACCTACAAAACTCTGAAGCTCATCGTGTCAGCCGTGCACACCCTGGAGCAACAGCACACCAAATACAAACGAGACAAGTTCAAGAAGACCAAGATTGGCAGTCAGTAAGTGACTTTGTCATTGACACATTTGAACTCTAGATAATAAGGGTGTAAGAAAAATCAAAGCAATGCACACCCCTTATAGGTAATTATGCATATCTCTAATAAGTGGCTGCGGTTATGTACACGTTCAAAATTATTAGGGAGTGGGATGCACCGATATGATACTAATATTCGATATCAGTGTGACACATTTTGATGGATTGAAATCAGTTCAGTCGCTATCCTATTTTGGTCTATAAACTGGTTTAAGAAAATGATGCACTGGACGATGTTCCCCAAAACACCTCTTAATAAAGTAAATTAATAACACTTACAAAACACATTTGCATATATACTGCATATATTTGTTACCATACTGTGTGTGTTAAAAGCCACGCAGTACTAGCCTTCCTCACATTTAACACAATGGTTCATTTATATAAACAACATTTGATGCATTAACCCTCTCAGGCTCAAATTAATTTTTAATATCAGGAAAAATCTGATATTTGGGGAAAATTATAATATGAGGTAGTAATATACAATCCTGACTTTTTTATCCTTTGTAAACAAAAAAAGTATTTTGCACTTCTGGCAGGCCATTTGTGTGTAGCCATTCTTGCACAGACTGCATCGCCCACATTTATCAGCATGGATGGGAAAAAAGGCTTCTGAGTAAAAAAAGCTCATAAAATATGGATTTAGAGTAAGTAGGTAATTGGAATTTAGCTGTTGCAAATCTGCAACACCTGCCTGGAGAGGGTTAATAGTGTACCATTAGTAGGTGCACTGCATTGTTTTGTTTTTGAAGCTTTCACCACTTTTTGCTGTGTTGCTTATCTCAAAAAAATTCTTTAGAAAAATAGATTTAGACAATACTGGTTACTGTACAGAAAAATAATATATTGTTAACCCATTAATACTATGATTTAAAACCATTTTGTTCAATAAACCATTTCATGTGTACTTTTAAAGGGCCCATATTATGCTGTTTTCTGATCTATCTTATATTTTTGTTTCCTCACCACAAACATACCTGGAGTTGCGTTTTGTTTCATTCACACATGTTTAACACACAAACCCTGCATATTTAGACTGTGTTCTTTCCGCAAACAGAAAACGCTCCACCTTCTGATGTCATGTGATAATACTGGAAGTGCTCAACTGTGGTTTTTAAACTCCATACACCTTCACAAGAATCATTTAGATCATTTCAATCTCTACACAGAACATTTTGAGCTTGGTAGATGTAGACATACTAATAATACAGGGTTACTCAGACATGTCTGAATGAAACATAACAAATTTCAAGGTATGTTTCTGATGAAGTAACAATATTAAAACTTGGCTTACACCTCCCAAGGGTCAGTTTTGCATAATAAAGGATCTTTTAGCCTTTACATTATAAAAGTTTTTTGTTGTTAAAATGTTATTGTTTTCCTGTTTCAGGGAGCATCCAATTGGAGATAAGAGTTTTCAGTGCTACATTCGACAGCAGTCTGAGAGCTCCACTTACTCAATTTAAGCGCTCTGAACCTGGCAACCAGCAAATCCTTCTATACTGTCTGAAGACCCACCTCAGCTACGGCTATGCCCAGTGTCCAGGTGTGCTCATTTTACCTGCTCGCAAGACTTGGATAAAGGATTTCCAAGCTTATACTGGACAGAATAAGCTGTTTTGGGGTCCTTTTTTTGCATTGGTGCATTGGTCCAATATAATGAGAACCTTGGATTTCAACAAGGCGATGAAGAACCAGTCTGGGAAATTCAAGATGAAGTTTGAGCATTCGTTTGAACAAATTCACTGGACAATTTTGACAGTGACACGCACTTTAACTGTCCGCAAATATATGGATGAGCAAGCAGAACACTTTGAGCTTATTTTGTTGTAATTTCATTCGTTGTGCTTTGGACAGACCAAATTTAAGAAAGATGGACTGTATTTTTCCATTTTTGGGAGGTGTTGTGCCCATATATTTTTATTGTTTTTGTTCCTAACCTCCTCAGGAAGGCTGTGAGGGTCGAGGGCACACACGAAGGGACCAGACACAGCCCAAAGCGTTTCAGACTCACGATGTTTGTTGTTTTAAATTGTGCTTAAAGATGTTGTATCTTATCTCCACATTTCAAAGCCTTGTTACAGTCCCTTTGTAACTGGTACAGTGGTTAAAGTAGTGGTTTTAACAGTTTTTTTAATGCGACAAATTACTTTATGCTTTTATTGATTATCTGCATTTTTGCCAAATCACATCCAGTTCATAATGCAGTTGTATATTTAAGATTTTTTCTTTTACAATTAATATTTAGACCGATTTTAGACCAAAAATGTAATTCTTATCTTGCCTTTAAGCAAACGGGCAGACCTGAAAATGGGATTTTAATTTAAGGTTAAAGCAGTGTGTATCTTATATTTATTTTTTTGATTTGTGGAAAATCTGTTCAAATATAAAATTTTTAGATTATGTCATTTGGTAGGTTTCATACTGGATGCCCTGTCCTGAAGTTTGTAAAATGCACTGTGCAACTTTCCTGGCCAGGGGTTTCTCTACATGCTTGTCTCCATGGAGATCTTATCTCTTTCCCTGGAATGTTCCATGGTATGACTCTAAACATCTAGCATTTATTCAGTAGTGATTCTATTGCTCAAACATGAATTCCTTCTGTGAAAAGGGGCACCTCTCCACAGATCTGAATTGTAATGTAGCGTAGTGCTGTAACCTGTTTGTGTCCCTGTTGGTCGACAGGTTTAATCTATACTGTAACATTTCCATGGAGTCAAGTAGGTTCCAGACATTCCACTAGAATTGTTACACAGTGCACCTTTAATCGATAGATTGAAAGATCATTTCAACAGATAATTTACCATTCTGTACTATTTAAAGCTTCTTATACATTTTTAAATCCAGCAGATATCCAATGAAAGCGTCACTGATTTTGTCTTGAAGTCTTATAACAGTTGTATGAATGATGTGTTGTTTTTTGCCCTGTTGGCTGCTTACACGATTCCCCATTTCCTCCATGACAAATCCCAATTGATACTTCGCAGTGACTTCACGCTGGGGGTGTTCTATAATGCGTTCCTATTGGCGTAATGTTCAGCAGTTTCCATAGTGACACAGTACACACATTAGCAAACACAGACAAAAAGTTTCAATATAGTCTGAAAACTCAAGAAAAAAATTCAAAATGGATTTAAACGGCACATTTTCAGGAGCCTTGGTCCTGTTTGGTCCTGTCTGAATTTTATGCGTGAGAGACAGAGACAGAGTTCCAACCAAGTCAGCTCTTTCTGATCAGATTGTGTTAAAATAAAGCTCAGATTAAAGTCTAACTCAAGTAACAGCTTCAGACAGAGTAGTGCTTTCAGTTAGCATCACACCCCCAGATTATGTTGATGATATCAGCTGCAAAGTTTCAATACCAAATCCTCATTTTAACACATTCCCATAAGAGAAACTCCCTCATGTGAACTGGTCAAAACCTTACATTTTCACCAAGGTACATATAAGAGTATAATTAGTTTTTTCCATTGATTTGTGTGTCGTGTGATGCTTTCAGTGCACATTTTTGTACATGGCCCTTTGATTTCCACTTTTTCGACAAATCCTGTGCATGTAAAAGCCATTAGCCATCGTCAAGTCAATCTTTTGTGTACATTTTAACATTTCTTCCCCATAGAAATCCTACACAAATGTCCTACACAGTGCCAGAAATCACGTCACTTTGATAAGAAACCCTCTTTTATGGAAAATAATTGTTTAGATATGTTTTTATATCACAGTTCCTGTACTGTTTTCCAGTTGCATTTTCTCTATATATTGTTCTCATGATATTTTTGTCATACAGAAATTTTGCCATGTAACTGAATGACTGAAGTGTGTTTGCAATGAGTAGCTCTGTGTGTATGTTTGTATGTCTAATAATGTATTTGAGTGACTGACGCATTGAGTTGCATTGCCAATTGATCTAACCCAGTGTTACCGATGGGAGCAGGCAGAACCACTAAAGCTGTACAAAGGATTCACTGCCTGTAGTAGTTGTAGTAGCCGATTTTCGTCTTTATAAAGTACTTTTACATTTCTGTTCAACATGGTTATACATTTTAAGGGACTATAGTTTGGCTCTGCTTATACCACTAGCTCTACTCATGTCTCTGCATTTTATCATTGAGCTCTTTGCCAATTGTCAAGCATAAAAACACAAAATAACAGACAAGGTAAGCCCAAAATTATTCATACTCTTGTTTAAATTCAGTTTATGTCCATTAAGTTGTTAGGAAATTATGTAACAGCTACCAAATGTGCTTCTAAATGTGCACTGTGCAACTTTTCATCTTCTCTCTATTAAGATATATGGCCTGGAATGTTCCACAGTATGGCATTACACTTGTTTATCTTTACGGAGGCATGAGGTGATTGCAAAGGGCCAAGTTATATGTCAGATCTGTGGAGATGCAAGCCCGCTCACAGTAAGAATGCAAGATTTTAGCCCAGTAACAACCATGCTAGTGAGTAAATGTAAGATGGATATGTTTAATGCCAGACCGGAACATTCCAGACAAACAGATAGCCGACGCTCCATCTGAAAAGTTACACAGTGCATCTTTAAACTACTTACCACATTTTTGTGGCATGTTTTACCAAAACTGTCCAAAATTACTTTTTGCTTTCTTCTAAACTAAAGGCACTGGGTAAGATTTCACTTTCTGTCGTAGCTGTATGGTGGGCTTTAAATCAGTCAAGAGAAAGGAAAATAGTTTAATATGTCTTAAAAATTCCCACCCATACATGCAGCTGTTCATTTATTAATCTTTAAAAATTCACTTCTTATTATTAAAACATAACACTTAAAAATTACTCTTGCAATTGTGATCTATAAACACCACATCAAAATCGAAATTTAAATGTGACAAAACGTGGAACTAACCGAAATCCCGTCTATCCACTTCCAGTAGTTCAACCATTTCTTAACCAGTTTTAGTTGTTGTTGTTGTTGTTGTTGTTGTGATCTATAAACCCCACATCAAAATCAAAACTTAAATGTGACAAAACCTGGAACTAAGCAAACGCAGGTCTACACACTTCCAGTAGTTCAACCATTTCTTAATCAATTTTTGTTGTTCAGAGCAGAGTATGCATAAATTTGGTCTTATTGTCTGTTTTTCATCTTTGGCCACATATTTCGTATAATTTAAGATAATCCTTCCCAGCACATCGTCCCAGTTTGTTGGTTAACCGAAAGTTACAGTAATGAACTCCTCCTCTTACCCTAAGCCAGCAAAGACATGACTTATGCAATAACTGTTTTTACGCATGCAATAAAGTAGAGAATCACTCAATATGCCCATTCACCTTTCCAAAAAATAACAAGCGCACATCTGCTGACTGGTAGCCTAATGTGCATAACATGTTATAAAGGGAGAACAGTGTATTTTGTACAAATATTTTAAAAAGTATTAAAATAAGCCTCTTAATATGTGTATATAAAATGTTGAATGAATGGTGAAAATGTGATGTGTTTTTCCTGAATATCTAAAAGAGACCAATATTAATGTAAAACTTGTGTGTGTGTCTTTTGTTGTTTCCTTTTATAAATGGAGTTCTGTTTTTGTATCTTTACATAGACCTTGAAGTTCCACTGTGTTTGTGCCTATGTTTAAGTGATAATTTTATTGTGACTTCTTTTGCACCATGGCCATTTTCAGGATTGAGGAAGTAAAATATGCTTACACTCGGAATAGGACTCTCAGCACAACCAAATAATTTATCAAACATAAAAAGTAATTGTGTATCTGCTGAGAGGGGTCAGAAAGTTGACACTGGTTTAGGGTCATTGCAGTGTATCAACGATATCCAGTTAAGTTGGACTACAATGATTATTAGGAATATGTTTAAAAACAATTAAATATTGTGCACAATTAGGTACAGAGTGTAACTTTCTGGAGATGGCACTTTGTATGATTCCATGGAAACAAAGTAAAAACAAACACCTTGGAACATTCTCTGTGGACATATATTCGTTTTGTGCAATACTGTGGAATATTATCGATAAAGGAACAGTTCCGTGGAAAGAAGCAAGAGGAGAACCCTCCTCCAGGCCAAAAACTGACAGGTTTGTGGAGATGCAAGCCTGCTCAGAGCAAAGACGCATGTTTTTCAGTGCAACCAAATATTGCTTGTTATTTTGCAAAAACGTAACAAGCTGTGGCTTTCACTGGGTCTAAACACTTGCACGTAAATCTAAGTATATGCATACATGTAGACTGAACAGGTTTGAACTCTGTGGTCAGTTTGTTTAGGCACGTGCTCTAATTCTTTTGCACAAACGGACGCACGGCGGTTCCTGAGCTCCGGTCCCAAAGGGGGACACAGCGCTCTCTGCTGCCTCAGACCCTGTTATCAGCAGCCCCCCTCCTCTTCTACCCCACTCTCCCCCCACTCCAACGAAAACACTTTCGGGAAGAATTAAGTTTTTCCTGCGCTCAGCGGCGCGCACTCGGAGCCGAGCCGTGGCCTAGCACAACACCTCGATATGTGGAGACGCCGCGCGCTCGGGGACTGTCTCCTGGCCTGTCTCCTGTTCCTCGTGACTCTCGCTGATACGTATCGATGTAAGTACGTAAGTGTTTAGCCACTTTCAGATCATGAGTTGAAACTTACTCGAAACAGTCATTCACGTAGTTAGCCTTTAGGCTGCACTGCCCCACTTTGGGACTCCGACACAGGAGCTAGTTTTGGGTCTGGTCCTGGAGGCAGAGGAAAAACTGACACTGTGTGAAGCCTTCACTCTTAAAATGATCAGCTCAAACTGAAACAATGCCTGGACACTGGAGGTCCACAATAGAGGTCATTTCTGGGAAACAACCATTTCGCAATGAGTCTTTTCAGGCCAATTCAAAGAAGCGCAATTAGTGAGTGCAGTCCAGTGGGTCCGTGCTCCATCAGCCATCTGTCAGACACGCACAGGCTGCACTGTGGTCTAGATATACACGCCATGGGACAAATAAATAGTTAGGTTTAATAATTTAAAATCATCATGCCATTCTGATTATTAATAGGTTATTAAGTTAATTTACATATAGTGAATTTCCTGGTTTAATTTCTTCTCGTCTCTCTCAATCTATCACATTGTGTAAATCTGTAACAGTCCTGAGCAGGAGCGGTGCCTCACAGTTCCTCAGTCGTCAGCGGAGAGCCAACTCTCTGTTTGAGGAGAGCAAGAAGGGAAACCTGGAGCGAGAGTGCATCGAGGAGCTGTGCAACAAGGAGGAGGCACGAGAGATCTTTGAGAACCAGCCAGAGACGGTACCATTAGACTCCTACTATAACCTATTGAGACTTCGCAGTGACATCATGCTGGGGGTGTTCAACGTGGGTCTCTATTTGCGGAAGGTTCAGAGGTTACTATGAAGACACAACGCACACATTAGCAAACACAGACAAAAAACTCTGAAAAAAGGATTTAAAAAGCACATCTTTTGGAGCCTGTGATACACACATCGTCTCTCCTGTTGCATTTCTATCTAGCTTCTTTCAGGTCAGTTTGTGTTAAGATACAGCGCAAGTTAAAGTCTAACTTAAGGTACAGAGCTTAGTGCTTTTAGGTAGCATCACACCCCCAGGAAATACTGATGACATCTGCTGCAAAATATCAATACATGATAAAACATCTTTATTCCATGCTTTTCTGAAGATGTGTGTCTTTTTTTTTTTTTTTAGGAATATTTCTATCCCAAATATGTCTGTAAGTTTTCTCATAAGTTATGTTTAAATGTTGTTTAAAGCTTGTTTCTTCAGTGAATTTTGTTTTCAGTTTGCCTGGGATCACACAGAGTTGGAATTAACAACCAAAACTCAGATTCAGCCATCCCTTCAAACCTTCGCACCTGTGTCAATGGTGAGATACAGCAGAAAAATAACACCATTTATTATTTTTTCAGACCAGAGTTTGAGTAGTGAAACTTTGGTCTGAAACTCTACTAGAATGAATTATTATAAAACCAAATTAATCATGTTTTATTTGTGCTTTGTGTGTGTCAGAGATCAGTAACCAGTGCTCCCCGTATCCCTGTTATAAAGAAGGATCAGAACGTTGTGTGGACGGACAGGCCACCTTCACCTGTGTTTGTAAAACAGGCTGGAAGGGACCACGCTGTGAAGATGGTAATGTCAAAAACATCACAGAATAGCAAACGTAGACTTAAGGCCACCACACAGTACAGCAGAATTTGTGTCTTTGTGTGTGATTTTGAAGGTGCTGCGTTCTTCATGTGTGGTGTTTGTGTGATTTTGAGCTGCTCCGTCAGGTCATAACCATAAAGCATCACCACGGCAACAGCCAATAAAACAGAGCATCAGGAGCACTTAAGGAGGATTTAAGGAGGATTTAAACTGCAGCTTCTCATCCACATTATCTGTAGTAATAATGGCCCCAGTCCACAAAACAGCACTGTGAATCCAGTTTGAGGCGTTCTTTAAAAATAAAAAGACGAGAATAGTTCCTCACGTGTGTCTGTTTACATTCACATAGTGCGTAGATCGAGGTGAAGCTGCAGATTTCTTCCTGTGTACTTTATCGCCAACTTTCTATGCATTAATCATATATCTGAAGCTCTGCACCGTATTTCACAAATAATAATAACATAGTTTTGACTTGTATCTAAACTAGAAGTGCAGTGCTTTGATCTTTTGAACACTTAAGAGTCTCAATGCAAGTGGTTTTACTCTAGACAGGAAACAACTGACGCAATTGTGCTCACTGCTTTGTAGCCTGTGAATATGCAGGCATGTCCCACTGCAGTCTTTGGGATAGGTGATTTAAAATCTTCTCATGTCTGTGGTGTGCGCTTTTTGTTACACGTTAAAAAATTGTTTAAGACCGAAAAATCCTGTAGCGTGTGGCGGACCTTTATACAAACTTTATTGATCCACATGGGAAATGATTTGGACACAGTATCTCCCACTACAGTATATTATAATAACATAGAGCAAAAGTTTAAATGGTAATAATAAATTCAAAATAAGTGGCAAAAGAAGGTCAACTAGACAAAGTTTTTAGAGTGAATGGGTGTCACCACCATCCAGTTAGGTATTTCAGTTCAGTGAGGCTATACATCACTTTGAAGGTACATATAGACCTAAATAAGTCATTCCCCTAAACAGATAACTATCTGATCTGAGTGAGAAATGAAGACGCTCCTTGGATGACTGCCCAAACCTACCTATTCAGTCTAAAAATTTAGTTCAGGTGACAGGTGAAGGATTGCACAGATTGCACATGGTATAGAATGGTAATAGGATGGAAACATCATAACTAAACTAAATGTGTATAGAGAATTACTGCAATTGAAGCAGTTTTGACACATCCAGGAATAAGATACTATCATGAAATTTTATCAGAACACCTGGACCTACTAAACAAGCTGTGATAACCTGTTGACTGTGGGAGAGACCGACCTGCTGACACCTGCTAGGCCCCATCACTAAATCTAACACAAGCCCTGAAGAAGCTAATTTCTTAATAGCAAAATGTTTAGTATTTCCAGCTTGTTTGATAACATTTCATGATAATATATATAACATGGTAATTATTCATCATAGGAACAAGACACAGCTATCTTTCTATTATTTCATGACCATTTGATCTTTCTCTAACACTTAACTAACAAGGTTTCAGTTCCACCTACAGTTCCTGGATAGGCTCATGTAAAAAAAAAAATTAAGACTACAAAATTATCTGTAATCACAGTTTCTATTTTCTTGGTAATAACTTAGCAACAGGGCGTCAAAATGCTTCTCTTGTTATTTCTGTGTTAACTTATGAAGTGCTTGATTGATGCTCTAGAAAAAGAAGCTCTTTCTATAGTTTCTGAACATTTCTCTTGATATAATTTGGTCTATATTTTATCCATTGTCTTGTGTTTTTACAGACATTGATGAGTGCACAGACCCAGATCATCCCGCTGGGTGCAACCAAAAATGCTACAACTTCCCCGGCAGTTTCCGCTGCATGTGCGAAGACGGCTTCTATATGAGTAATAAAATCAGTTGTGTGGGTAAGGCCTCTTCGTAGATTCAGGTCCAAGTTCTCTTCTTTATTGTCAGACTAATAATGTGAATTTAAGTGTTTCAGCACCTCTCAAAACAAACACAGACAGAGCAAACAATACACAGAAGATGAGCGAAATAAATATATAAATAATTAAAAATAAGTCAAATATAATAGGTGTATTAAATAATACATTGTAAGGGGTATACAGGGTAATTTTGAATTTCAGAGTGTGCCCTACATATATATTTAAAGGTCCTAAATTTCGCAAAATTGACTCTAGTGAGCTGTAAGCCATGTAATAATTTTGCCTCATCAAAAACATATGTGGAATTGTGTTTTCTTTCATTCACACGTTTATCTGTGTCTCCAAAGCTCAAAATGGTCTGTTCCTTCTTGTGGAGTCATGTAGTTGTGGTTTAAATTAACAGCACCCCTTTTCCTTTTGTTCAGTAGAGATTGGCAATTTTAGGGCTAAAATCATTCAGATGATTCTAGTGAAGGTGTGTGGAATTTAAAAACAGAGTGGAGCACTTCCTGTATTACCACATCATATCACAAGGTGGAACAAGGTGGAGTGTTTTCTGTTTGAGAAAAGAACTCAGCCTAAATATACAGGGATTGTATGTTAAAGATGTGTGAATGAAACAAAACACAACTCCATGATTTATGACATAAATCAGAAAACAATGTAATGTCTTTTAATGTCCTTTAATGCCTGTCATAACCTATATATCCCTGCAGCTGTGTGGTGTGTTTAGGTTCAGTACACACGTTGTTCTTATGGCAGCTGAACAAACATGTTAAACCCTCTCCAGCTGTTTCCCTCGGGTCCATTTTTGTCATTTCTGACTCTGACCTGATCTCACCTATTATGTAACACACACTAAAACATCGAACTATGGCATACATCTGTGGAGTAAATGTTATTTAGCGTGGTAATAGTTCTTTAGTAAAACATTATTATATTGCATGTTTAACATTTTTGTGTAGTTCGCGTAACAACTTAATCTGCTTGGTCACTGTTTACCATGGAGTGGGTTACCAGTGCAAAGTCTTTACAAACATTTAATGCGTCACTGTCACACATTTGCCTTCAGTATTTTCAACAAGATCTAACCATCTGCACTTTAAGTTTTACTCCACAAAATGTCATATTAATACAAAGCTTAAATGTCCTATATTATGTTGTAACCTCGTCAAAAACATGCCTGTAACTGTGTTTTGTTTCATTCACACATGTTTGAGTAACCCTTTATTATTAGTCTGTCTAGATTTGGGCTGGGTGTCATTAAGAAGTTGCTGATACGATATATATCTCGATACAGTGCACTTTCGATTCAATATGATATATTTCAAATTGATTCAATACGGTTCAATTAAAATAATGGCTAAATCATGGCTGGATACTAAAAGTCTTTGTTAAATCACTTCTTGTACAAAGTCCATATGAAACACATGCATTTTACTCATCAAAACAGTGAATTTGTCAAATGTGTTGCTTAAACGCGTTTCCTTCCTCTAAACAAGCAACAAAACTGTAGCGCTGTAACAAAATAATTTATTAAAATATACCAAAAAATACTCTTCGATATTATATCGATACAACAGCCCACGATATTGATATTATATTGTATTATCACATTAAATGATACAATATTTCGATATTTTTGCACACCCCTAGTCTAGATCACCAAAGATCAAAATGCTCTGTTCCACCTTGTGATGTCATGTAGAGGTAGGTTTCAAGTAAACAGCTACCTTTTATATTTAGTTCAGTAGAAATGGGCAGTTCCAGGGTTGAAGTCATCAAGATGGTTCTAGTGAAGGTGTATGGAGTTTAAAAACACAGTGGTGCACTTCTTGGAGCATGACATCACAAGGTGGAACAGAGTGTTTTCTGTTTGAGAGAAGAAATCGTGTGCAAATGAAATGAAACACACCTCCAGGTAAGTTTGTGATGAGGAAACAACATTATAACGTAGATTCTACCTGAAAGACTGAGGGATTTTTCACACAAATTGCGTAATATGTGCCCTTTAACATTTGAAAAATGTTCTGCTGTAGTTACTGCATTATATGTGTATGTTTTCCCTCAGATATCGATGAATGCCTGCTGTATCCTAGTATCTGTGAAAAGCCGGCCAAATGTGTGAACACCCCCGGGATGTACGAGTGCGAATGTCCCACAGGATTCAAATATAACTTTACATCAAGGACCTGCAACGGTGAGACCATAAACATGTTTATCACTCTGTATGTCAGCCCCTGTGACTGTGAAGTGATAGAGGATGCCTTCTGTTGCTGCGTCCTTTGGCAAGTCATTTTACATTTTTGGTTTCATTCACACACAACACCCAAACTCTGCATGTTTAGGCTGAGTTCTTCTCTGAAACTGAAAACACTCCACCTTGTGATGTCATGTGGTAATACAGTAAGAGCTCCATTTCGTGTTTTAAGTCCAAACACCTTCACTAGAATAATTTTAATAATTTCAGCCTTGGAATTGCCAATCTCTACTAAACAAACGATGTTAATTTGAACCCTACCGCTTCATGATATCACGAGATGGAAAAGAGCACTCTGAGCTTTTGAGATCTAGACAGACTAATTATAAAGGATTACTTAAATGTGTGAATGAAACAAAACACAACTCTGGGTAGGCTTGTGAGGTAACAATGTTCTAACATGGCTTAATGCTCAAAGTAAATTTTGTATAATATATGATCTTTAATGTTATAGTTTGACACGCCTTCTTGTGTATTTCAGATGTGGACGAGTGCGCTATGAATGTTTGTGAGGACACCTGCATTAACACAGTGGGCAGTTACGCGTGTTACTGTGACGGGAGGGAAGGGCTGCGTCTGGCCCCTGATCAGATTCACTGTGACTCGATCCCTGTCTGTGTGGGACTGTATGATCATAAACACCCAGAGATGCTTTACCTTGGCGAACAGTTCGCAGGACTGCCTGTCATCTACCTGCGCTTCAGACTGCCAGAAAATACCAAGTAGGAACAATTCAAATATTTTAAGGTATTTACAGGGATAGAAAAGTTTCAGTAGTAGTCAGTCATCTGGACAATGTGTTGAGATAACTATAATAATTTTTTATCATTGTCAGAGTACACAAACTAGGGATGAGCTATTCAATACTCAACACACCACATGTTTTATGTGTATACATGAACAGAGATGTTGTGTCCTTAAGCAAGACACTGTAATCATCTTGCCTATGCATGAATGTTGTGTGTTGAGAGTCTGAGAGACTGCACAGATTGGCAGTCATGTTTCCACAGAAGTACCACCACTGAGTTTGGAGTATGGGCCTGTGCAGTTTATTGCATTAAATCGAAATTCTGTCATCTCTAATCATCAAAGATCAGAGTCTTTTTAATTGAGAGGTGACTGTGACCGATCAATATTAGGGGGGAAAAAAATCAATTTTTTGTCATGTTGCCAGAGTGAACAGATAATAGCTCACTGTATAGCTTTGAGGAACTTGTCAACTTGTAAGGCCCATGAATAAATGCATAAATGTATGCCATTATATTAAACAACATTTTAAAACAGCATTTTAACTCTATGGATTGGATTTTGCTCTCCTTGGTTTCAGACATGACCTGCAAAAAGATTAATGTGCAGAACTTTTAAATCTAGAAACACGCTCCACAAATCCCACTTTAAAATTAGATTATATTTTAATGTTTGTCCCTCCTCAGGTTTGCAGCAGAGTTTGACTTCCGCACCTTTGACCCAGAAGGAGTGGTTCTGTATGCAGAGTCGTCCCAGGACTCTTGGTTTATGCTTGGGCTGAGGGGAGGGCGCATCGAGGTCCAATTCAAAAACCAGCACACCTTTAAAGTGACCAGCGGAGGCAAAGCTATCAACGACGGACAGTGGCACGTGGTAAGAAGACACTGCAATCAATTCATCACTTATCAAAGCTGCGTATCTCTATATTTGACCCCTCGACTTCCTAAGTGCAATAAATAAATAATGCAAGGACAGACTGTATGGCTCCTTAGTTATTGTGTGAGGTAATGGTCCTATAATTGAACTGTGCTCATTTGTCAGATCTCGGTGGATGAACTTGAGAGTAGCATCAGTGTGAAGATAAGTAAAGAGGCTGTGATGAGCATCAACAGTCCTGAGAGTCTCTTCACCTCCGTCAATGGGAAACTGGAAACCAAAGTTTACATCGCGGGAATGCCGAACAAAACCGACAATGTCATCAAACCGGTAAGTTCCTCCACATGACAAATACAACACACCAAGTATGAAAACTACTCATCAAAAGTCTCACAGTAATATCGTGGGCCGTAACAATATATAGAATCTCAAGTCTACTACAGAGAACTACATGGACCATGATCCTTTGCTCTGTTTCAATCCAATCTACATGTTGAAACAACTGTTATGAAGCACTCTTATTTTTTGGATTTTTGGATGACGAGAGAAAAGTAGCATACTCACAATTTTGTATTATTATTATTTTTTGTTTCCACAAAATATCGCAATAAATATTGTACCATGAGCTGGATATCATGAGAATATCGTATCGAGAGATTTGGATATCATTATATGCCTAATGAATACCACCTTATCTAAACCTGGATTATATCAGGTCTATTAGGTCTAAAATAAGATTAAACCATGGACAAGATAGTTCAAATTAATGCTTAACCCAATGGAGGACAAAAAGATGAAAAGATTTGTCTCTAATTAAAACAAATAATCTACAGTGGGTCTTTGTACGGCCCATACACTGTATACAGAGGTGGACTAAGGGAGAGTGACATATTCGGCTCCAGTCAAATGAAGCTCACAGAGGCAAGAAGCAAATTTGGAGCTGGGTCCATATTAGGAATGGGATCTTATTTATATACAAAATCGCAAAATAAAAACACTAGAATCATGTAGAGGAGTTTAATACAGACTTTTTAAGCTGAAAATGATAAGGCTTACTGCGGCAGTTTCAGAGAGAGGGGTGACAGTCGATGGAGCGCCCCCATGCTTTTAACTTTCTATTTGGAACGTGGTGGCTAGTGGGTTAACTATGTCCATTTATATATTTATATACAGTACCACCTGAGAAGCGTGTACCACAGTTTGAGAAACAGTGAACTGAAATAGAGTACTACTTTTTAATACTGGGTGAATTCTAGACGTATTTATATTATTAGACAAAAAAGTCTGGTGTCGTATCACTTGAGTTCAAATGGATGAGACCAATGACTGAAGTAGTTAACACTGTAAATATGTTTTAAATGATAGATGACTTGTCTGTTCCCTTTGCGTTGCTGAATTTAAAAACTGCTCTGTCTGAGTTTGGCCTGAGACATTGAGAAGGGAGTGGTGACAGGACCGTAAATTCTATACAGAGAATTTCAGTTTGTAAATTCCAGGCAAATCATATTATGCATGTCAAACAACTTTTTCCCATTCCATGATTTTCCTTTCAGTGGATGCCCCACCAAACCTAAAGGTGCACTATGCAACTTTTCAGGTAGAGAATTCGGCACCTTTTTGTCTCCCTGGAGATGTTATTGCTTTGACAGTATATCTATCTTACGTTTAGTGAATTATAGATTTATAGATTTATTATTGCTCAAAAATGACTTAAAAACATGCATTCTCATTGTCATCTTACAGCTCTCATCCCATCTCATTTGTAGTGTTATTTGCTTGCTTGGATATGTTTAAAAATCAAGGCGAAACAGGGTCCATCACCTTGTCTCATGAAAATGTTATTGCTTTGTCTGGCATGTTGCACTCTGTGGTATAAGTAGGCATTAAATCAAATAAATAATCTTGATTCTCCACTCTATATCATTATAACTGCATAGAGGTATATGTTGTGTGTACATTTCTGTTATTAACAATAGACCACTGTAAACTATACCTTCTCAGATCAATCCTCGCCTGGACGGTTGCATTCGCGGCTGGAACCTGATGAACCAGGGCGCGTCTGGAGTGAAGGAGGTCATTCAGGAGAAAAAGAGCAAACACTGTTACGTTCATGTGGAGAGGGGCTCTTTCTTCAGTGGGGCAGGGCTGGCACAGTTCAACATTGACTACAGTGAGTAAGTTAAGTTATACCTTTTTACATTTGGCTTTACTAACGGACACAGCTACTTTTAAAGTGGTCACTTATTTTGGGGGGGAGGGGCTTAGCATTCTTCATGCTGGAGACTATGAGGAGAAGCTGAGATCACCTGAGGTCATTAATAGGAATAAATGCGTTACATTGAAAGGTGCACCATGTACCACGTTTCTTATTGCCTGTGTGGAGATGTGATTATTTTGCTGAGAATGTTCCACAGTGTGGCATTAAATGTATCAGTGTTCATAGAAAAAGCAGTTTCAGATCTGTGGAGAGGCAAGCTTGCTCACAGCAAGAATTTTACCAGCAAAAACACCCATTAGATTACCTGTTTATTGCCATATTGTGAAAGCAATAACATCAGCGTGTAAACAAGAATCAGAAATTGTCATTTATGTATTAAAAATAATACACAAAACCACTGTACGCAGGTCCATGTAATCAGCAGCATAAAAACAATATAATAAATAGTTCAAAATATGGTACGTATATGGATGTAGAATACAAGCAAGGAAGTGGTGGACCACCAGAAAAGTTAAATAGTGCAGCTTTAATGGACACTACATTACGTTTACATCTTGGATTTAGTTACTTTCAAACCCCAGTAGGGCTGGGTTTTGACAGTGGTCAGGTAGCTAACCATTGAGTATTATATGCCTATGTAATGATTATTCACTATATTTCTCAGCACATATTTCAGCTAAACTCATCTTAACAAGTCTTTATCTTGTGTGTGTTTGTAGGTGATAATGACCAGTGGCGCATTGACATCCAGTTGAGTATAAGACCCTCCAGCAGCACAGGGGTCCTGTTCGCTCTAGTCCAAAACAACACTGTCCCTCTGTCACTTGCAGTGATCACTAAAGATGAAGTGGACGCTGTAAGTATCACGCTCAAACTAAGGGTGGGCTATATGGCAAAAAATGCAGATCACCATTTTCTTGTCGTCAGGGCGCCATTTAAATTTGATCATGATTTGGATGTTTTTACTATCTTTATATTGCCTTGAAGAGACAGATAAAGTTATCTGCTTCTTCTGAAAGTTCACGCTTAATTGCAATTGGTTAAATTGACCTGTCACTCACTTATGCATGACAAGGTTGACCAACCACAAAATGGTGATTATTAGGCCTGTCACAATAAATACTTTATCAACTTATTGTTCAATACATGACAGATGGAACAATCATTTTTGAGGGTCAGTATTTAATGTGGGTTCTTTTTCTTTGCACTAGTGCGAAAACTTTTGGTTACTTTTCTGTTCTGTGATGAGATTTGAGCTGTAGAAGGTTCAATTATTACTTCTATGACTCATTATAGACACAAATTAACTACTTAAGTGTTTTATTCTGCTTTTTATGTATTGCAGGAACAATATTGTACATTTAGAATCTTTTGAGATAATTCTGCTTTAATGGTTTGGTTTCAATATTATTGTTTATTGTCTATATTTACTATTTAGTAGCAATATATCATGACAGGCCTGGCCATTATACCATAATAGCTCAGGGATGAGATCACAATAAATTTTTATCACCATATTGCCTTAACTCAAACCCATCATAGCTAAAAAAAAAAAAGATTTACTCATGTTTACTTGTTTTCAGAACTTGCAGGTGTTTTTGGATGGTGTGTCCGTGGCAACCCTGGACACTGTGATGTTGTGCTATCCAGAACGAGTGATGGTGCAACTTAATGTGACGCCTACAGACCTTTTCATCTCTGCAAACTCCTCCTCTGTCTCGTACATGGCCTCTGATCGACTACAGGGGGCACTGCAGAGCCTCAATCTTACCATGCAAAGCCCCCTCAGCACCTACATCGGGGGAATACCAGGTGAGGGTCCGGCTATTGAAATAGAAATATATAAAATAAGGCATTTAAACAAGTTGGTGATAAAATGCCAGCTCCAGCCAGTGCATCTATCAATCTTATTTATTTATATATTATATATTATATATATTACATATATTATATTTTAAAAACAAGCTAGGTTTACCAAAGTGCTTTACAAAAATACATACAGTTTAACAACAGTGAGTAAATAAGTCTTAAGTAAGTGTATGTTGTTTTCCAATCCTGTAAGTGTCCTCTTTGTCTTTGTTTCAGATGAGGTCCCGTTGTCATTGACTCCTGTCACTGCGTATTATCACGGTTGTTTGGAAATCACTGTGAACGGGCAGCCTTTGGACTTTGATGAGGCTCTGAGTAAACACAACAGCATTAAGTCTCACTCCTGCCCCCCAGTGTTTGCCCCAGAGATGCAGCCGATCGCACCCGTCCCGCACAGGAAATGACCTCAATTAACACAGACATAATTTAAATTAGCAGAGTCTCATAGTATTAATGAAAATGGTAAATGTCAAGTTGAGAGAAGTGGAGGGGAATGGCCGACATCACTGGAAAATTGAAGAGAAGCTGAGTTTAAGAGGAGTGTGTAGTTGTGTAGTGGTCTTGATAAGGCAAATGGAGAGGTGACGTAGTTGTAGCATTTGTTGCAATGATAAAAGAGGAAGAGCTGAGCTCTGAAGCATGCACAAATAGATAAAGTTTATTTGTTTAGAGAAACAAATAGTCATTGTTGGCTAGGCTCCAAGAGCAGTTTAATTTTGTCACATTGTGAAATTTAAAGTCTTCTATTTGTTTGTGATTATTTCCCAGACTGCTGATGTAGTGCACCTGATTTAAATGTGCTGTACATAAAACAAAATCTTCAGGTAAATTATAGCTGTATGTTGTGTCTGAACTGTCCAAAATGTATTTAAATACAAAACATGTTTTTACTTTTGTGTCTGTAGTAAATTGCATAGGACAGCGTTTTCACAATAATCAGCTGACCTAGGTTTGGGCAAGAGCATTGAAATGTGTGTGTCAACTTCTCGAGAAACAAAATTGAAAACAAAATACACACATGGGCGGCCAACTTTCCAAAGGGGGTCTACTCTTCCTCTTTAGCGCACACACACACACACACACACACACACACACACACACACACACACACACACACACGCACGCACGCACGCACGCACGCACGCAAACCTGTGCTCGCTCCCTCGCGCGCAGAGGGAGGAGGGAGGAGGGATGAGGGAGAGATGTCTGCATCAGGACAAACTCTGCTGCACTTTTCATACAGACTCCCCCTGAACCAGCACAGCGGAGGAGGCGTGCAGCAGATCACCAAACACGGTGCACTCTGTCCCGCTCCAAAGGGCTATAGCACGGGAGAAGAGCGGTGAAAATGAACTTCTGAGCGCCATGGGCACGAGCTGAAGTCAGACTGCTCCCGGAGGTCGTTTCAGACGCATGTACGATATGTGGGGGGACGCACGCCCGCGCTGCCTGCGACGCTCGGCACAGATTTAACAGAGCTACCTGAAAACCTGCAGTGTTTAAAGACACATTAGCTTCACCTCTCAGTGGCTCTGACATTGACGGAGGGTTAAAGAAGACACGGGGGTGCAGGACGCAGCAGAGAAAGTTTGGAGTTTGGCGCACACATCGCGTTACAACAATGCGGCTGACCCCAGTCCTCTCCTGGGCTGCTCCGCTAATCCTCCTGGCGGCTGTGCAATTGTCCGACACCAGTAAGTAAACAATTGCATGCTAGGTGGCTAAGCTAGCTCGCTAAACCCTTTGACATTTGTGTTGTGAATGATCCATGCTTCACTTTGCACCGTCAGTAAGGGGCTTGTGTTTCGCAACCTATGGACTTCAAAGCAAAACGCGCTGTTTGATCCTCAAATTCCGCACACTTCCATGTTTAATTGGAAAACATATATATTTATAAAGGGCACCTTTCTTTTTTAGTTTCCTTGTCCCCCCAAGAGGCGAACCAGTTTCTAAGCAGACACAGAAGAGCAAACCAAGTTTTTGAGGAGACGAAGCAAGGGCACTTGGAGAGAGAGTGCGTAGAGGAGAGGTGCTCCAAAGAGGAGGCGAGAGAGGTGTTTGAAAACGACCCAGAGACGGTAAGTTAATGTTATTTATACAACTACAGACTTACTGCCATTATTATAGAGTCCATTGTGTTGTTTTCCAGGTTACCTACGGGTTTCATGGCAAAACACACACACACACACACAAAAAACAAATTCATTGTTTCATCATGCAGCTTTAATAGCAGGCCTAATTTAGAAGTAGCCCATTTATAATTGTTACCACGTCTATTTAAAGTTATTAAACAGTTTTATTACCCCACTTTATTGTCACACAACTTTGATGACAGTTGCATGTTTACGCCAACTTCATATTGACTAACATTGATCATGATGTCTGTGGCAGAGTGTGGTGATTCACTGTCTGAGCTCTTCATGCTCTAGTAAAGTCCATTCTCTGATTAGCTGTCAGACCGTGCACATAACATCCCCACGTCAAGGTCTCCTCCGTTAATCTACTTTGTTTCCCTCTGACATAAGTTGAGTCACTGTGAGTAAGTAATTAGGAAGTAGCTATAGTGTCTCAAAACAAAACATCAAAATATAAGAGGCACGTTGTAACTGATTTGCTATAATCACATCAGATGAGCAGACACGATTGTATATTTCCAGAGGTGTGCACTGCTGCTTAAAGGTGCATTGTGTACCTTTTCTGGTGGTATTGCTTTGTCGGGAATGTTTTACAGTATGGTATTAAACCTTTCTATCTTCATGGATACCAAACCAGACCAAGTTACAGGTCAGATCTGAGGAAAGGCAATCCCACTCAGTCAGAATGCCAGTTTTTCTAGGTATTTTTGAGCAGTAAAACCACATGTGATTTAATAAATGTAAAGTAGAGCTTTTTAATGTCATACTGTGGAACATTCCAGGGAGAGTTCTCTCATATCCAAGCTGGTGACAGACCCTCTATTAGAAAACTTACAGTGCACTTTAATGTTGCAGACTTTTATAAATGTTTTTCTTTATTTTAAACTATGCAGATCTAGTTTTCATGTAATTTTTAGACCATTCAAGGATGAAATTGCTTCATATTGCCACTGTTTTGTGTGAGTCTTCTTACACTGTGATGAACCATATGTCTACTTCATAACACAACATAATTATTGGAGTAACTTTTAGATACTGCAGTAATAAAAGTGGAAGTGGATATCTGTGCCTCCCTTCCTGTCTGTACAGTGGTTGAAATCACATTGCAACGTGAATAAACTCCAGCACATGTCAAAGACATGAACACGAGTAAATGTTTGTAGTCACTTCTTTAGTACACGTGAATTAGGTTTTAGTATTTGAGGAAAAACTCTGTGCTTGGAGTGATCCGTCACAGTTCACGTTTTACACCAAGTGAATGAGGCAATCAGTGAATCACATATTACGAGTGGAATTACCGTAGCAACCGACTCAATAAGGACTGCTGGATTAACATGAGGTTTTTAATGGTTTACAGTAGGGCCACTCGTGATACAAAACATGGCTCACTGTACCATAATATCACAAATTAATCTATAAATTGCACATGGTATTCTATGATATATGACCTTTTTTAAACACTCAGTACATTTTAACAACAGTGTTTCTTTGTTAAACCACTACCTGCTATAAAATGAAATAACTGTTTTGCAACTGATTTCCTTTCTCTAAGCAAGCAGTACAATTTTACTATTATCAATTCACCAGCCTGCAATCCCATTTAACCATAACTAAACCAATGACATTAATTGCACTATTCCAGATCACTTTAATCAGGATTAATCTGGATTTTAATAAATAGAAAACAAATCCTAATCATTCATCAAAACTAGGCCCATTTAAAGCAAAACTAACCAATTAGACTGTCTTAACTTCAACAGGAACTCCAAAAGAGTTTCAAAATTTGTGTGCCCAAAATATTATTCCAACAACAATTTACAACTCTTTGAAACGCAGAGTTGCTGACAGTTAAGTGTAAAATACCTCCATGAGTAAAACGCAGTCTCATTCAAGAATACATTATTAATTTGGTGCACAACTCTGACTCTGCATTTCCTCTGCTGCAGCTGCAAAGTAAAGGAGACAGACCCACCTCTGCCTAGCAACACGTTTTTCAGTTTTCCACACCACCACTTCATAGTTTCTTGTATTTCCAACCTAATTCCATTATGTCCATTGTCTCTACATTACACAATATTTTGGCAGGGTCACACTTTATAGGATTAGTTTACTTGCTTTTAAGATTTCATTCATGCCTCACTTTTGTCAGGATAGCCCCTTTACGTGAGATGCATTATTCTAGATGGTGCCGATGTCCAAATCACTCTCTTAAAGTATAACTGTAATGGCAGTTTTTACAGTTTATATTATGCTTGATCATTATTTTATTTAAAGATGCTCTATGTAACTTTTTGGGGAGGGTTACGACAAAACACCTGCTTGTCTCTATGGAGATGATCGATCTATCCACAGTATGGCCATAACATAATCATGCATTCACTTATTTACACGTGTCTTTATTTCTCCAAGTTACTCTGAAGATAAATTTGTTCTGTAATCTCCAAAGATCTGACTTGAAACATGGCACAGTAGCATCACCTGTTTGTTTCCATGGAGATAGATACATTTAATGTCTTATATTGTAATATTCTTGGTACCACATTAACATCTCCATTGAAACAGGCAGGTGGCAGACTTAAAAATCACCAAGTGCAGCTTTAATATGTACATGTAATTCAGGTTGCATCTAGACTTAACCCAAAACTCCAGGTTGGTACAGCTGATCCAGGTCTTGTCTCAAAGTCTGGATTTGGGTCTTTAGTAACAGGTTGCCTAGAGACGCACTGTTTGGAGGATGGGTCAAATGTAGGGTCCAAATTTCCCATTGGAGACAAAAAAATAGTTTAAAACTTTCAACTTTATAGTGTTGCAGTTCACGTTTTACCTGGTCCTCCCCTGCTTGCTGCGTCCACCCCTTCATAAGAAATCTGATGATTAAGGGCCCGTGTTCTGACCTAAATGTGAACAGCACTGCAGCCTGCAGGAGGGAGGGAGGATGCTGCTACTACCAGGAATGCAGAGAATTCACACCAACCCCTTGGCAACCGGCCGCACCCGTCAGATAAAGGACCCAAAAGAGTCAAAAATTACATTTACGATTAGTTTATCAATCCTCCCTCCCTCAGTACTTGGAAATCACTCTACTTTAACTGTAAAATGAATCCAAGGTCTCATTTGTGTCAAAACTCCCTTTTTCTGCAGAGATATTTTTTAGTTTTACTACCCTGACATGCTTGTTTTAAATCTTCAAGCTTTAACTCCTTTTTCTGCTTTTTCTCACTCAGGATTACTTCTGGCCAAAATATATAGGTAAGTAGTTTTTCTAGCATAAAAACGTTATTATAATTTATAACAATAATAAAATGTTCTCTACTTTTTAATTTTTTCCTGCAGCATGCGTGGACAAGTTTGGGGATTCTGAGAAAAAGAAACAGGATCTGATCACTTGTGTTCACAGTAAGTTTTAAACACGTTTGAAATGTTTTAAACTTTTACTTTCAGTTCAGTCAAAGTTGCATTTTTGTGACTGTGATGATGAAAAGTGGCAGAGTTTTTCTTTAACTTACTGAGGGCGTACAGATCAAGGGTTTATATAATATTATTGACAGTTTATGGATTAAAGCTCACAAGAATAAATTTTGTGTAATATAGGACCTTTTTTCAGCTGAACATGTGCTTGAGAAAGATACTGAGAATAATTTAGTTTTCTACATTTGAGTTATGATACACACCTTCCCTCCTTTATAACAATGCAACTTGGACAATTTCTTGCTCCTTTATAAATCAAGTGCTGTTGGTTTTTCTGATATCCTCAGCTATAAGACCCACAGAGTCCCTGGTTGTAATGTGGGCTGGGCTGCACTGCAGTAACAGCTCTGCATCACATTGAGGTTTGCACACACATAGAGAAAGGAAGGAAAAGAAAGTCTATAGCAGTAGTAGTGTTTTGAATCAAATGTTAAAGTTAGAGTTTTGAACTGAATCAGATTTTAATCGAGATTGAGATTCATTTATGTTTAACCATGCATAGGATAGTCAGAAGTTGGGTTTTTAATGAAGAGGTCCACACCCAATCCTCTGTCAGTAAATGCATGTGGTTTTGAGGGGAAAACTGGGCTATTCTTGAGTAAATTGGCAAGTGTCTATATTTTTGTGTTTATGAAATATATTTTATTAATTTTATTTTATTTTGTGCTTGCCCCTTCTGTTGGAAAAGAACAAATAAGCATTCAGTATCAAGTACAAATCATGATTTCTAAAAAAAATAATAAAGCTGCATTATGTAACTTTTTTGGTAAGAGTCCAGTGCCTGGTCCATGGAGATATGCTAGTGAGATTGCTTTTCCCTGGAATGTGCCACAGTGTGACATTAAACTTGTTTATTATTTAATCATACAATCAATTTAACCAAACAATACCTTGAAAAATAAGCATTCTGTTGTACAAATCTGACTTGTAAATTGGCTTGCTGCTTGTTTCCATGGGAATAGATAAATTTGATATCATACTGTGAAAAATTCCAGGCAAAGCAACATCATTTCCACAGTAGCGGACCCTCCACTCGGAAAGTTGCACAGTGCACCTTTAATGTCTTTCTTTCTTTCGTAATTTTTTTGTCATATTGCCCAGATGATCCATTGCAGATATGCAGTTTTATTGATATGCTTTTGGCAGATTTCTGTGGTGATGCTTCTTATTGGTGAATGGGGGACACACCTCTTTTGTGTCAGATGGTGACTCTGCAGTAGCCGTTGCGTGACTGAGGGGAGTGACGTGAGATATTTGCGTGACGTGGTCGGAGTATTGCTGCATCAGAGGACAGACTCGGCTTCTCTCTGATTGGATAGAAACACTCGTGGCTGGATGCATGACTCAGCTGCACCACTCTCTCTTAAAGGAGCTTTTCAGTTCCTCTGTCAGCAGCTCTCATCACTGTTTTATCTCTAAAAATTTAGCCTCTAAAAATCTGCCCATCTGTGTCCTGTCGCATCACATCATCAGGAGTTTGTGGTCAGGCAGATAATAAACAGATAATGGCATCTTCTTATTACATTACAGGAACTGTGTGTGGACATACTGCATAATCAGGGGAAATTTATACAACTAAGCAGCTATTGTCACGTCTCAGGAATTTGAAGTCAAAGCTCAATAATTTCAGGAACTGATTAAATTTGAGCTAGCTACTACAGCTAAAATTTATTGCACTGGTTAACTAGTGATCTTTTAAATGTTCTGTCTTATGTAAAGTTGATTCCTGTGAGCTTTAAGTCAGGATTGAATGTTGTTATCTTTGCAAAAACATACCTGGAGATGTGTTTTGCTTCATTCATATGTTTATCCTTTATTATTAGTCTGTCTACATCTCAAAATTTGAAAATGCTCATCTTCACCTTGAGAAGTCAAGTAGTAGTTTTCAGCTTAACAGCTACTTTTACCTTCTGATCAATAGAGATAATTATGATTCCCTTACAATTCCAGGGCTGAAATTATCCAAATGGTTCTAGTGATGGTGTATGAGGTTTAAAAACATTTCCTGTATTACCGCATGACATCACAAGGTGGAACAGAGTGTTTTCCATTTGAGAGAAGAACTTGTTTGTGTGTTAAACATGTGTGAATAAAATGTAATAGCATAAATATTGGCCCTTTTAAGAGACAAGTGCTGAATCAGAGTAAATTTGGAGTAAAATCAGAAATTTGAGATGAGTGAATTGTTAAAGCTATCATCTGTAATTATACTGACTGACCCTCCCCGTTGTATTCTCACATATCACCACTAGATGCTATCTACATTACTGCTGTCGGATAGTGTGCCATCTTTAGCCTGAAATAAGAAGTAGACATAGACTGTATAGAGAAGTGGACTAAGGGAGTGATGGGGGGAGGGGGTGGCTTTAAGGACTTTCAATCCATCTCTCTCAATCCACTTCTTGTGCTTGTCCCAAGTCTGAATAAGTGAAAATAATGAACTACTTCAGGGATAATAGCTTTTTTATTACTTGTTTATAGATGAACATCAAAAGGTTTCACTACAGTCTACAGTCTGAAAGTCAAACAATTGCCGTACTAACATTTGTTCTAAATCGAAACACTGTTCAGGGTCAGATTTGCTCAAATAAACTCACACCCTTTTACAATCAAATTATCAAATTAAGAAAATAATTGCCACCTTAATCAGTTAGAAAAAAAAAGTTGCTGAAGTCCTATATCCTTACAGTATTTTGGGTTACCTTGATGCCTCTGACCATGCCCATGTAAAACCCCTGAGATTACAGACAAGAACCAAATGACAAGGACCATATTAGACACCACAGACACCACCATTACATCTTAAATTAAAAGCCCCTTTAAATCACATCAAACGCTCTCCGGATATACAGTATATTTAGCTCATATTATAGGACAAGGTTCACTTAGGAAGAAAACATGTGACTTCTCTGCAGTGCTGTGGGGCCTGGGGCTGATGCACTGAAGTTTGAGTGAAATTATCTACTTTGATCCATCACATTGTGTCTGTCATTTGTACCGGCTGCTCTGGGACAGGCCTGGACATGTACTGCTCCTAAACTCCTGCTCGGAAAACGCAAGTGGGAAAGAAACATCCAGAGACAAAACAATATGAGCAATGATGTTATTAGCTTGATACAGACAGGAGTGACGGGAAGTAACTATTCATATTTTGCAGTGACATCACGGTGGGGGTGTTGTACATGTGTTTCTAATGCTGGAATGTTTAGGAGTTACTATGGCGACACAATGCACACATAAATTTTTTAAAGATAATCTGAAAGCTCAAGAAAAAACACAAAATGGATTTAAACAACATATTTTCAGGAGCCTGTGATATGATTTTCAAGAAAAATATGAGAGTGACTAACTGAAAAACTGTTGCCTAATGCTACTCAGACTGTAATTTTATGCATTAGAAACTTGTTTAAGCACACAAATCAGCTCCCCTGTTGTAGTTCCAGCTAAATCTTCTTTATCTTTATCTTAAGACTCTTAAATGTTTATGGTGAATGTAGTTTAAGTACTCGATTAAGTAATATTAGCAGCCGTCATCGGTAATTGTAGTAGTAATGTATACAACTATATATTATGATTTAGAACAAGGGTGAGCAATTATTTTTCCATGGGGCCACATGAGAAACAGAAAATATTGTGGAGGGACGGGCCAAAATGCTGAACTCAATTCTTGTATTTCTTTATAAAAAGCAGTAAATAGCAGTGTTTTGATAGACTGGTAAGTCTCCAGTCTTTTTCCTCTGGTGAGCTACCTTTACAAAACAAAAATGCCAAAGAGTTACTTATTTTAACAGTTGCAAGAAATTGAGTATATATAAGCCACAGCCTTAGATTGGGGACAGTGAGATAGATAGAAAACAGATATATAGAAATATAGATAGATAGAAAACATAAACCATTATTCATTTATTAGTACACAAAACCGTGCATAAAAATGATCAAATTTTACTTATTCAGCACAATACGTATAATTCAGAAATCCCTTGGCGATTTACTTGGAAAGGGGTGGAGAGCTACTGGTAGATCCCGAGCTACAGGTTGGAGACCTCTGGACTAAACAATGAAAAAATGAGGTTGACTTAAAAAAAGTAATTTAAATAAAGCACCTCTAAAATAAAAGCAATGCAACTTTAGTCCATGCATGAGGTAAAATTATAAAATATGTTTATGTTGTAATTCCAAATGACCTTAAACGGGCTACTCAGATTCAACCAAAGGGCTGCATATGGCCCAGGAGCTGTACAATACCCTGGTCTGATTTAGAACAATCACTAACAATAAATAAGGGTTCATTAAATGCTTTTCTTCATGGAGATGTTATTGCTTTGTCTGGAATATTTCACAGTATGGTATTAAACCTTTATGTTTTCATGGAGACCAAACCAGACCAAGTTACAAGTCCAATCTGTATAGAGGCAACCCCGTTCACAGTCAGAATGCCTCTTTTTCTAGTTGTAAACAGAAGTGCAATTGAATCAGTGTAAGGTGTTGAGCTGTTTAATAATCTGCTGTGGAACATGCTAGAAAGAGCAATGACATATCTATAGAAACAAGCAGGTGATGGACCATCCTCCATAAAAGTTACACAATGCAACTTTTAATAGATCAATCATGTCTCGTCTTGCACTTTTAATTACTTTGTGTATGAATTGTACTGTACAAATAAACCTGCCTTGCCTTGCTCTCATTGACCCAATCTTGTACTTTTGAGTGAAGGACTGAATTAGGGCATGTCAGGCTTCAGCTTAGGCAGCATTAGTCTATTTATACTCAACCCAGCTATGAAACACAAGCAATGACCTTTCTGTAAAGTCATACCCATAAAACCTATTGTATTGTAGCATTCCCCTCTAATCTCACTAATGCTTTTTCTATTTGTGTTTTATTTTAAGATATCCCAGACCAGTGCTCGCCGTCGCCATGCAACCCCAGAGGTACGGTGCGCTGCGAGGACAAAAAGGGCGATTTCCTGTGTCACTGCTTCACCGGCTGGACAGGGGCCAGATGTGAGAAAGGTATTGTCATCATTGTTCCCATATCGAGGCTATAGTTGGACCGTGGTGGTGGACAGTTCGTAAAGTTGCGAAGGTTACATTTCTGAGATGTATCCGGTAACTCTGTGACTGTCGGCCATCTTTGTAACTCAAGATGTTGCTATAGTTTCCTCTTTGCTGATAAGAGTCTCTTAATCACAGTTATTTGGTCAATGTTTTATCTTACTTTAAAGGTGCACTGTCTAATTTGTCTGCTAGAGGGTCCGTCACCTGCTTGTTTCCATGGAGATGTGCTTAGAATGTTCCATAGTATGGCCATAAACTTATGAATCTCCATGGAGACTTTCAAGCCAAATTACAGGATAGATTTGTGGAGAATAGGGGTGTGCAAAAAAACGCTGAAATACCGATATATTGTATTGTCGAATGTGATGATACAGTATTGTTATCGTGGGCTGCTGTATCGATATATCACTGAGAGTACTTTTTGGTGCACTTTACTAAATTATTTTTGTTACAGTGATACAGTTTTGTTGCTTCTTCAGAGGAAGGAAACTTGTTTATGTAGCACATTTGACATTTTCACTGTTTTGATGATTAAAATGTGTGTGTTTCATATTAACTTTGTACAAGAAGTGGTTTAACAAAGACTTTTAGTATCACAGCCACGAGTTAGCCTTGAACCGTATCGTATAAATTGTAAGTTCACTGTATCGAGATATGTATCGTATCGTGGCTTATGTATCGAGGTATGTATTGTATCGGCAACTTCTGAATGATACCCAGCCCTAGTGGAGAACTGATGTTTTGTAAAGATATTTTTGAGCAATAAATGACACCGGTAGCCTAGTTGTATAAATGCAAGACAAGTTAGTTTAACACCATACTGTGGATAAATTAAACCAAAGCATTAACATCTCCTTGGAGACAAATAGGTTGGAGACTTAATCTAGAAGAGTTTCACAGTGCACCTTTAACTTAACTTTCTATGTTTCTTCTGTCATTCATTCATTCATTGTCAAGTTTCTAAAGTGAGATATATCCATGGGTTTGAGAATGATAAAAAATGAGCACTGTTGCCAGAATGCTGAAACTCTTGAATATTCAGGCCAATATTATCATTGCGCAGAGTTCAGATGAAATAACTATTACTCTTTGGTTTATTGTAATAAAATAAATTACTTGATTTATGTTTGTATTTAGAAGAGAATTTGTTTTCTCTAGTATCCAGCCAAAAGGACAAGCCTGGAGTGTACACTTTGTGGCATTAAGTAGGGCTTTCAGATTCATATTACGAGTGATAGGAATGCAACAAGCAAGACAATATTTTCCCCAATAATTTACTAGGTATTAAATATGACAGTGCAGACATAAATACCAGACTTTGTCCTGGCAAATAAAAATGAATGCTGAATGCTTTTTCCTTCTTGCTTTTATAGAGGACAATATTGTGAAAGCCATACAAACGCCACAATAGCTTTAAAGACTTGTGTGTAATTTTAAATTGGAATTTTACCTCCCAATTTGGGCTATCGGTAGCCACTGTGAACCGGTTGCGAAGTTATTTTTTCAGATTTTTAAACCGGATGCCCTTCCAGTCACAGTGTTTGTTAACAATAAAAGTGAAAATCTTCAGTTCGGTGTAATTTTAACAGATTAGATATCAAATATGTTTTAATTACATGCAAAATCCACATGTGGAAGTTTGCGGTCGGTTTTTTAAGCTGTGAACCCACCAAACTTCCAGCTGTTACTGCTATAAATAATCTATGAGTGATCCATCGAGTCAATATGAACTGCTTGTACAGGAACTATGGTCAGAAAGTGTCCAGTGGGAATTCATGTGTCTCTTTTGGAGGTCGAGGTTTGCCACTGTGTAAAGACTGCTACAATCCACATGAGAAAAGTGGATATTTACCTAGAAATCTGTGTACAGTAGGAAGACCTTTTGTTTTGGACAAGAATCAAGTAATTTGTGGACTTCAGAAGAGGAAAATTTGGTGATGATTTCTGTGGCAAACACTATTCAACACATTTCCACTATGACTCATCCTGCTACCAAGCTGTGAAAGAGAGTTTGGTTTGACTTCAGTTTGGTCTGAACTTTTTCCTTCAGGAGATGACTTCATACAGCCCAAACACATATACAAATACAGTAAAGCTCAACATAAATTAAATAGAAAAATCTAGTGTTCATTTATAGGTAAAACTGAAACTGAAAACACTCTGTTCCATCGTGTGATGTTGTGTAATAATTATTGTGTTTTTAAACTCATTTGGATGCTCTCAGCCTTGGAATTGCCAGTTTCTACTGAGCTAAAGATAAAAGGTAACTGTTGAAAGGGTGAACACTATCACTAAATTACATCATGCTTTGGAGATGTAGACAAACTAATAATAAACTGTTACTCAAACATGTGTGAATGAAACAAAACACAACTCCTGGTCTAACATGGCTTGAAGCTCACAAGAGTCAGTTTTGTTTAATATAGGACCTTTTAAAGGTGCATTATGTCACTTTCCGGATGAGGGGTCCACCATCTGCCATGGAGATATTATTGCTTTGCTGGAAATGATCCATAGTGTATAGCATTCAGCGCATCTGTTTTACATTTAATCAAATACATGAAAAACATCCATTCTTACTGTGAGCCAGGGCGACGCACCACAGATCTGACGTGTTACTTGGCCTGTTGGCATCACCAGCTTGTCTCCATGGAGATGATAGAAGCTGAATACCATACTGTGAAACGTTCCTGGCAAAGCAATAGCATCTTCATCGACAAGAACAGGTGCTCCACAACTTTCCTTCCTGTCTTAATAGAAGAAAATATGCAGTGAAATTCATACAAATTCTACGATGGTTCCAAACACTTGTGTGCACATTTAAGATGGAAATTTAGCTCCCAGTTTGACATGGGTGGCCACAGTAGACCAGTTGCAGGGTCATTTGGCAGCTTTTTACACCAGATGCCCTTCCATTCGCAACCTAGTGGGCAATGGAGCTTAAGATTTGTTACATTCTCTCAACTCTTTGGTTATAATAAAAGTAAAAATCTTCAGCTTCTTCTATTTTGTTTTTGTTTTCAGATGTGGACGAGTGCGAGACGAGGAACGGCCGCTGTGACCACGAGTGCAACAACACGATGGGCAGTTACCGCTGCTCCTGTCACCATGGATACACACTGTCAGGGCGGCACTTATGTAACGGTACAATATAGATATAGATTTATGTTATAGTAAATGGAGACATCAATAACTGCATCTGCCTTTCTGAGAATCTGACTTCATGAACTTAAATCACCTCTTTTCATTTGGACATATGATGGCTATTGGGGAAATCGCCAGCCTTAGTGAATGGTTTACCACTATTCTGCTTGTAGACATTTTTCATAATTTGGTTAAGAATAAAATGAATAAAATTTTTATGAATTATGAACTGTGAAAAGATAAATTGCTAAAAGATGCAAGGAGATACTCTGAGGTAACTTTTCACAAGTGCTCAAACATTTTATCCTCAGATTTTAGCAGTAAGTAGTATTGTAAGAAATTTATTAATATACGTATATATAACAATTAGAGATTGAATGTATTCTAACGTCATTATTTTTGACTCGTTTTTCATTTATTTTGTTTTTCAGATGTGAATGAGTGTGAAGACCCCTCGGTTTGTGGGACAGCTGATTGCCTGAACACAGAGGGCAGTTTCAAGTGTCTGTGTGAGCCTGGGTTTGTTTACGACAACGAGACCAAGAGCTGCCTGGGTATGTCCCTCAAACCCCCTCACAGGTCTGGTCCACTGGAGGTCCATCCTGCAGCTGTGTTTTTGTGTCACATACTTTATTATTATCACAACTAAAGAATGTGCTGATAAATGGGTAACAGGTCACTATTGCTTTCTGAAACCAAATTTATTAAAGGAACCCACGTAAACTATCCATGGGTTTCAGAATGATTAAAAAAAAACATTGCCATAGCAATAAACAATTCAAAACAACATTCAAAACATCTGATTACTTTGTCAAATAATATTGACACATGGATACCTAATGTCAGAAGTCTGAAAAATGCTTTTAATCAGTGTTTACACTGCAGTGAAACAGAGACACAACTGTGGGGGGGGAATAAGTGTTCCTGTCCCAGTGTTATCCATGTAAGGTTAAACACTGAGAGGCCCGAGCCCGCTCAGACTGAGGAGACCACTTGAACCCACTCCCAGGGCTCTGTGCATTCCTTCAGTTTGTTGACATAAAAGTTCTTGTTTTGATCAAATTCCTTTGATAATGAGAATTTAACTGCTTTATGCAACCCTTCACTACAAATGCCTAAAACAAAATAACAAATTACTACAGTCATACAAATGACCCTGAACTAGTTCAGCATAATTTTGGTTTAATGTATTTTCTTTGTAAGAAAGATGGTTTACAGTTATTAAATATGTATGTGTTTCAAGCTATAGCGACAGTCCTGTTGTTAGAGCAAATCTGAAATTTAAATCAAAGTATTCTGTATTTTCAGTGGGGAAAAATCCACACGATTCAAGTGTCTTCTGTGTCATTTCCTTTCTTTCTTTCTTTCTTTCTTTTCAATCCCAGTTAGGCTAAGACCCTTAACTTGTCCCAAAGCCCTGAATTTAACCAAAATACCTTCCTTAATACAAATTCTAATACTAACCCAAACCATAACCTGATAACCTGAGAAATAAGATTATATAAATAATAGTGAAAAAAAAATACTCTTGGGCATCATAATAATAAGGTGGTTGGCACAACTCCAGCTGGACTAACTTGAAAATCACTGATCTAACCTTTTACTTAACTTGTCTGTAACCCTCAGATGTGGATGAGTGCGAGTCCAGTGTTTGTGCCGATGAATGCCTGAATGTTCCTGGGAGTTTCCGGTGTTTTTGTGACGGACGTCAGGGCATGAAGCTGTCCCAGGACCTCAGGAGCTGTAAGGTGAAACACATATACTCTACTGTTTATGTCAAGAGCATGCTTATCTATTATCTGTAGGCCTGAGAATCTGGACAGCTGCCATAGCGAATAACAATTTAACACAAATAACCTTTGAAAGGAGAAAAGGTCCTCAAAATGTTACATAGAACAGGAAGCTGAAACCCAAGATTGAATGTGGTTTCCCTTAAACTGATAAGACTACTAGTATAGTGGACCTGCGTAAACAAATTAGACAGTATTTTTTGCCAAAGTATCTCTCATAAACATTCAAAAATAAGCAAAATAAGCACAGGCTATTAGAGACTTTTACCTCCTCAAATGATATAAGATCAGTTGTACCATCAAAGTTGTAGTAAAATATTTTGTTGTTTTTTTAAGAAAGAGATGATTTAAAAAGTCATGCTAAAAGAAGTGCTGTCCTCTTTGTTTAGCCCATTACTCCATGTATTTCACCGTCTTTGAAAAGGAATCCTCAGTCCCTGTATCTGGGACGCACCTTCAGTGGAGTACCTGTGGTGAGGCTTCGGTTTCGCAGAACATCTAAAACAGGGTAAAGAAGTACTTATTATTAAAATAACAAATTCTTAAAAATATGATAAGATATTGCATGGCATGAAATATTCTGCTGCAAATAGCCTTTTCTCCCATGTATTTGAACAATATGTATATTGCCCCAGTACAGAATATTATATAAGCAGCTCATGAGGTCAAGTGAAGTCTGTAGTGTGCTGTCTGCGTCTAATTAGAAAGCATTTTATTGTCATTGTTTTACCGTTACGGCAAAACTATGCTTTTGTCTCTATTAGTTATAAACTCATCATGGTAAATAATTAGGATGCTCTGAATACATATAAGTGAGGAGTACCTTGCACATTTTTAAGACATAAATCAGGTACAGCGCCTTTAACTAAACTGGTGCAGTCTCTCTCTTTTTTATAGATTTTCAGCAGAGTTTGATTTCCGTACCTATGATTCTGAGGGAGTGATATTTTTTGCTGGAGGTCACTTGAATAGCTCATGGATTGTGCTCGCAATGCATGATGGGAAACTGGAGTTGCAGCTGAAGTACGGTGCAGTGAGCAGGGTCACCAGCAGTGGAGCTGTGGTCAACGATGGACAGTGGAGAAAGGTTTGCTCCTCAAATATTTACCTGTCTATCCAAGCATATCTGTCTTTCATTCTATCATCTACCTATTTATCTCTACATCTCTATCATTATTTCATTCTATCTATTTATTCAGTCTATTTCTCTATCTGTCAATTTATTTAATTCTATCTATAATTGTTTTATTCTATCTATCCAGGCCTGTATATCTTCCATTCTATCTTTTATCTAGGCCTATCTATCTATCTACACATCTGTCTATCTTTATCATTATTTAATTGTATCTATTCAATCTATTTCTCTTAACTGTCTTTATTTCTTCCTTTTTATTTTTCATTCTGTTTCAATCTATCTAGACCTATATATCTTTAATCGTATCATCTATTTATCTGTCCATCTATCAACCAACCTATTCAACGTATTTCTCTATTTGTCTATCTTTCTGTCTGTCTGTTTTTATCATGTTTTCTATCTGTCGATGCACATCTAATATCTATATCTGACCGTCTTTCTTTCATTCTGTTTGTCATTCTCTTATTCTGTCTCTTTCTTCCTCATTATCTCCTTTTCTCTGTCTTTCTCTCTCTCTCTTTTTCCCTCATTCTCTCCTCTCCATCCTTGATTTCTTTATTGTTGCTTTATGTTTATACCTTGTGATTTTGTTTTTCAGATCTCGGTGGAGGAGCAGGGCCGCAGTCTGGTGATAAAGATCGACCGAGAGGCTGTGATGAAGATCGCGGTTAATGGGGACCTGTTCACTCTGAAGAAGGGTCTGGGGCTGCACGAGCTGAACCTGACCGTGGGAGGGGTCCCTTTTAAAGAAGACGGTTTGGTCAATAAAGTGAGGACTTCCACATCATTTTAATATAATGATGTACACATTTTTGAAGGTCTCATATTACGCTATTACACATCACAAACATACATATGTTTTGTTTCATTCACATGTTTTACATACAAACCCTGCATATTTAGGCTGAGTTCTTCTCTCAAACAGATGACATGTGTGTAATACAGGAAGTGCTCCACAGTGTTTTTAAACTCGATACACCTTCACTAGAATCATTTGGTTCAGTAGAAATTGGCCACTACATGACTTTACAAGGTGGAAGTATGTTGAGCTTTGGATATATAGACACACTAATAATGCAGGATAACTCAAACATGTGTGAATGAAACAAAACACAACTCTGGGTATGTTTTTGATGAGGTTACAACATGTAACATGGCTTAAAGCTCACAAGAGACCATTTTGTGAAATATAGGACCTTTAAGAAGGCTATAGGTGCTTATTTTATAAAGAGGAGGTGTGATTTTATAAAGAGGAAGTGTGGCGAGTTGCGTAGTAACTTGAGTGAGGTGATGAAAGCTGAGGAGCAGGTAAACTTTGGAGAAGTGGTGAGGTAGACAGGAACGAAGTTAGACTGAATTTACTCTAGCTCCATTAGGCCCATTGTCCAGTTTATGATGCCCAGGCCTAATAATGCATTAGTCTTATTTAGCAGTTTTCAAGAAGCTCAAAGTTGCTTTACAATTTTGTGCATTACTTAATCCACACTCACTGTTGGTAAGACACTACTGCCCAATCTTCATTTTTGGCAATGTAGGTGAAGTGTCTTGCCTAAGGACACAACAGTATGCATTAGAAAACCTAACCTTGGTTGTCCTATCCAAGTGCTAACCAGGTCTAATCTTGCTTAGCTTCGAAGATCAGATGAGATTGGGTATTCTAAAGGTGGTATGCGCACATATGAAATGGGTTTTATGAGGGTCTATGGACTGAAATAAATGGAAGATGCTTAATAATTTTCAACAAAAATGTATGTGTTCTCATATATTTTACTTTGTACTTGTAGGTGAACCCTCGTTTGGATGGTTGTATGAAGGATTGGCGCTGGTTGACCGGAGAAGACACCTCGATCCAGCAGACGGTTTCAGTCCAATGAGAACATGCAGTGTTTCAGCACAGAGGACCCTGGGGCCTTTTTCAATGGGACAGGATTCGCCTTTTTCAACAGAAGCTTTACAGGTACAACAATGGCAGCTTCATCTCATTTACAGTAGTGGGAACATGGCAACCCTCTTTATTTAGTTAACTGACTTAAACAGGCTTCATGTAACTTTTCTGATCCACATCTAGGTTGTGTCCATGGAGTTTGAACTTGTGTATCTTGCCTTTGTTTAAATATAGATGTTTCAATAGCTAAAAGAAATACTTTGTAAAAGATGCATTCTTAATACGAGTGCAGGGTCCCCTGTCCTCTGATCTGGTGATCACCAAAACAGGGTTCTGCACCTGCTTGTTTTCATGGAGAAGGATTTAGTGAATGCCATATTGTGGAAAATTCCACACAAACTTTGAAAAATCTCCAAAGGGGGGACCGTTTGGAGATTTGTTACAGGGAAAGTTCAAATGCTCTCATAAAAAACATATACACATATTTATATAAACTTAAATTGTGGAGTTTAAATGTTAAAATATGTTGTGTGTAGGTGATATAAATTACGTCACAGCCGGATGTAGTATGTTTGGTTCTTGGACTAGTTTGACATCATCTGGGGAAGCTTATGTTTGTTCCTGTTTTCTTTAGATTCACAAAACCTGAGTGTCCACTTGAGTCTGCGCGCCACTTCTGGGATCGGGGTCTTGTTTGCTCTCATTTACCAGGACCGGGTTCCTCTGTCCATTTCTTTAGCCGACTACCATCCAGGGACAGATGAGTGGAGAGATGTGAGTACAATGACAATGAAAACTGTATAATTCTAAATAATGTCAATTTGATTAAAAATAGATTTTGTCCTTTGAATTAAAAAGTAACAATCTGGAATTTCCTTTACTCTATTAAAAGTCAAATTTTGTTGTTTTTGTTGCTATTTAATGTTTGGAAATATCAACCTTGCACTTAATGTTGCAAATTGTAAACTACAGGCTTAACACCAGCTTGACAAAAGTTTGTACTTGCTCTAGAGACTGACTTAATTATATAATTATAATTGACTATGTTGTGGGAAAACTTATATATTTCTTGATGGTAAATAATTACCTAATCCATTTGCGAAGCCCAGTGAGTTTATGGAATACAGACAAAGGTTTATTCTTGTTACAGCAGATATGGACAGGACGAACAGCCTCTCCCCCCCAGCAGTATGTCCCACAGTCTCTGCTCTTTTTCTCTGCCCTGAGTCTCTGCTGAGCCTTTACACATGCTAATGACTGGTCTGGGTCTCAGGTAGAAATCACATTCATTTACACAAAGACGGATCGAGATCTTTCCATAAATTTCCATC